ATTCTGTCTCCCCTGATAAACTCTTAGCCCCTGAGGCCTGGAGGTCTGGGTCAGTGTCAGACCCGTCTCTAGCTCAGCTCCTAGCTCGCAGCCACCCAGCACCAAGGATGTTTAGACAGAGCAGTGAACCCATCCACTGCCCCACCAAGCTGAGGTCTCCAAAATACCAGGGACTCTCTGAGGCATATCTGCCCCACACAGAGCAGGAATTCAGATGAATCAGCAACTGACCGGGTGCTAAGACTCTCTGTGCAGAGGTTCGAGAGTGAGCGTGTGGTCACTGTTGTGACAATTCACAAAGCACTGTGATGTCCACACTTGTCTGGGCCTTGCACAAACTCCATGGTAAATGCCATCACCCCTACATTGCATGTCAGGAAGCCCAGGCTCCAGGAGTAGAGGGGCTTGCCCGAGGTCCCAGGGCCAGGTATGCATCCCCACTTTCTGACTCCACAGCTCATGTTTCAGCCACTGCCCTGTGGCTGAGATTGTCCTTCACAGGCCTTGCCAGACCTTGCCCCGGACCTAGGGCAGAGCAAACAGGCAGTGCCAACTCAAAGAGCAGCCCTCCGTCCGAGCCCAGGCCTGGCCTCCCCTGCTCACATCTGCTCTGTCTCTGTGTCCAGAGCCTCTGGCGGGAATGCCCCAGGGGAAGGACCGAAGACCGGCCTGGTGACACATCTAGGGTTTTCCAACCTGCTGCGAAGGGATTTACGCTCAGGCCCCTTCCCACTTTAACCTCCCCCCATGCCCAGGCTGGCCGCGTGGGGTAAGAGTTCTCCCCCCTCGCCCATCTCCGCTGCCCCGCTGTGAGCACTCGGAGGACCCCCAACAAAGACCTAGCTCTCTGGCTTGGTCGGGCTCACTCATCCGTCTGGAGTCCCACAACCTTGGGTCCAAATACTGGCTTCTCCAAATAACTGAGGGGTCTGAGACACGGGGCTGGCTCGACGGATGTATGCCCCGTACACATGCCCCAGGCCCTGCCCTCAGAAGGGCCCCCAGGTGGTTGAGTGTTCGGTTGCCTCTGTCTTGAAATTTTTAGTTTTTGAGCAAGGGCTTTTCATTTTTATTTTGCACGGGGTCTCACAATAGGTAGTTGATCCTGCCTGGACAAGTTCTTGAACTTCCCTGAGCCTCAGTTTCTCTGGCTGCAGAAGAAGCCAACTTGTGGAGCTGCTGTGAGGTCAGTGGGTGAGAAGATCCTTTGTCAGCTGTAGAGGGCTGTGCCCTGAGAGGTTTTGTTCCCTCCAGGAGGAGAGGAGAGGCTTTAGAAAGACCCGGTAGCTCTCTTGGAGAGACTAGAGGGCTCACGGAGTCCAAAAGGAAAGTCTTCAGCTCCCTAGGACAGCACTCTGGGGTTCAGCTTTGCCCTCTTCCCCCTCGCACCCCCGAAGGTATGGCACCTGGACTCTAGCCGCCCTTGGCAGCGTGGGCTCCTGGATGGGGTGTGGCCTCACAGGGCAACCCGCAGCACCCCCTTTGCATCCCCCACCCTGAAAGCCAGAGACAACACCACTGTCCCATGTTTGCTGTTTGCATTCAGGATGAGTCTGCAGTCAAAGGAGAGGACAGGCTGTCTGGCTTCTGCATCTGAGACAGTGGTGGCCCAGTACCAGGCCTGGGTGGCCTCTAGTCTTGGGAAACAGAGAGGCAAGGCTGCTTTTTGAGGCAGTCGGAGAGAGCGGTCCAGGGGTAGGGACCCAGGCTGATCGCCATCCAAGGCAAGGAGCTCCCTCAACAGCTCCCGGCAGTCTCTGCTTGGAAGCTCCCAGGGACAAAGCTCTCAGTGCCACCCAGGCTGGCCCGTCCTGTAACTGTAGCCTTCAGTCCCCAACCCCCACTTGAGCCCAAAGGACTGGGTAGACTTTGTCGTCCTCCCTTCTGTGCATATCGCATTGTGCCGTGTACATCTGCTAACCTCAGAATGACACAGCCACCAACCCTGTGCTGTGCAGGGGATGCTGGGGGCCTGGCAGGTGCAGTGGCCCAGGCAACATAGAGGACAGGCTGGTAGCTGGTTGCTCAGTCCACTGCCCCTTCCCCGCTCAGCACAGGGCCTGGCCTCAGTAAGTATTGGCTCTTGACATTATTGCACGAGCCTGGACGCTCACCCAGAGTGAGCCAGTGGTCCGGAAGAGAGGGACCGATGGCAAGGCTGTGAATGTCACTAAGGAGGACTCTGGTCGCCTGACCCAGAATGGCAGCAGTTAAGGGCAGAGGCCAGAATCAGATGCTAAAAAAGTAGCAAGACCAGGCCTGAGGGCCCCAAGCGAGGGGGTGGATGGGGGCAGCATGCTCAGAGGCGGGGAGCCCTGGAACAGGCAGCGTCAGGGCGGAATACGGAGAGCATAGTACCTGCTGGCGCTGTGGGGTCCTGGGGCTGGGGCGGTCAGGGGGGTTGGAGTCAGACCCAGCAGGTCCCACCGGCTCTGCCACTTACGAGCCGCACAACCCTGGGCGGAGTCCTTGCCAGAGAGGTGGAAAGGGCAGGAGCCGCCTCACAGAGCTGCTAAGAGCCTAGGGGACGTGAGGCTTGGAAGGCTGAGTTGGGACTGGAGCGGGTGACCCCCCATAACCAAGTGCTGTGGGACGAAGGGGTCAGCAGCCAGAACAGCCCACGGGGCCTTCCCTGAGGCCCAGAGCCACTCTCTCAGAACCTGAAGTTTAGGCACCAAACATCGTCTAGGGCAACATGGGAGATTAAACATGTGCACAGTGCAAGGGAGAGGCTAGAGAGTGCATGACTCTCCACGCTGACCCCAGCCCCCTCCTGGCCTCTGCCTGCGCAGTGGGTGCCAAGGCCCCTCAGCTCTGGAAGGCCGAGATTCCGAGTCCCACCGGGGCCTCCGGGGATGTGAAGGGCCAACAGGAGCCCCTTTGGCCAGGTCACTTCTCAGGGACACAGCTCCCAGTGCCCACGCCACGCCCCACCTCCACTACGAGAGGCCCAGTCGCCATCACTGTCGCCGAGTAAGGTCACAGCTATGCCCCAGTCCCAGTTCTCCAGGGCCTGAGGCTTAACTACCTATACCTGGAGAGCAGGCAGGCCCTCGGGCCCCTCTCCAGAGAGGGGCTCTCCCACATAAAAGGCTGAAAAGGCACCTGGGGCCTGCGTTGGCTCTTTGATTTGGGGCTGGGAGGCAGGATTTCCTCTCTGGTTGGAAGTCCAGGAGGGAGAAACTACCATTTGCGAAGCAACTCCAACCTGCCAGGACCCAGACCAGGCACTTCACCTGGGGAGTTTGATCCTCACCTCAGGCCCGAGAGGGAAGGCTTGTCGTCCTCACCTGCCAGGTGTGGGTGCTGAGGTCCAGCCCGAGGGGTAGCCTGCCTGGGTCACTCAGTGAGCGACAGGGCCAACGCTCACACCCTGGCCCGCCTGCCTCCACTGCCCCAAGAGGGCCTGAATGGGCCATATGCCAGTCAGAGCCTGGCTCCCACTAACAGAGGCCAACACAGTGCAGGGAAGGGCGGTGGCCTTCTTTCTGCACCTGGGGCTCGGGAAGCTCCTTGTGGAGGTGGTCTTTGAGCTGGGCCTGGGGATGCTTGCAGGCAGGAGGTCTCCACACCACTGGACCAGCACACAGACAGGAAGGCTCACAGAACTGCCCACATCCAGCTGAAGGGCTAAGATTTGTGGAGACACACAGAGAAGAGTCAGGCTCGGGAGACTCGCCTTTCAATCACAGTTACAGCTCATCCTATCATGGTGAGGGCATTAGCCTCGAGAAGTAGGGCCAGTGGCCCTCTGCCACCCATAGCCCTTGTGCTCAGGATGCTCAGGACAACACCTGCTATGCCCCCTCAACCCGGCAGGATCACAGAGATGCACCCTCACACACACACACACAGAAGGGAAAGCCCGATTTCCCCCCTCCCTGCCCTGCCCACCCCCCCCACACACACACACATACACACAAATTGAAGTTCAAAGGAAAGGCATCATGAATTTGGTATAATTAGCAGCAGGGACTCCTGGGGTATGTATTCAGTGATCAATCCTGTGGGAATGCAGACACCACAGAAGGACAGACAGAATAAACCAGTTAGGGGGAACCTTCAGGGAAAAGGCCCACAGGGCCAGGTGCCCAGAGGAAGCCAAGGGAGGCAGGCAAAGGGTTTCGGGTTATAAAAGATGGGGCCCTTGGCTCCCAACATTGAAGAGAAGAGGAAAGCCCACTCAGGCACAGTTCCCACAAGATCAAAGCACACAGATGCTCAGAAAGAAACCCAGGTTGAAAGGCTCAGAGGCCCAGGAATGGGCTCCTCCGTGTGCGGGCCACCTGCACCCTGGTGACCCAGCTCTGCCAGCCCTTTCTCCAGGCCTGGGGAGGATCATTCTCACCACACAACGGGTTCGGTGACCTAGGCTCTGCCCCAGCCTTTCCAGGCCCTTTGAATTTGCAAAGGGAATAAAAACACTAGACAAGCTTCAAGTGGACAAAAACCAGACGCCTTTAGCTTATGGCTCAGTGAGAACAGATGTTGAGCTGAGTGCCTCATCAAGGTGATGGATGGTGTGCGGGCTCGGGGAACCCCTCCCTGGAAACTCCACAGCCAGGGCCACAAGCCAGTCCATTCTGAGACCAGTTTGGGAGCCCCAGGGACCGCGAGTCTGGGTTTGGAGTCCAAGTCTGGGCAGGACAAGGGTTTAGGAATCTGGCCCTGGGCAGCTAAATACCAGCTAGGCTGATCTCAGCAACGTTGACCTGTCGGCGGTGACCTCTACACCAGCACAGCCCTCTAGTGTGCAGACGTTTACCCATCCATCATCTTCATCAAAGTGGGTCCTCCCCGGCAGCCCCACAGGAATGGTGCCATTCTCCCATTTTACAGATGGGGAGCCTGAGGCTCAGGGAAGCCCACAGCTAGAGGGGATCAGCCAGAACTCAAATTCAGGTGTCCTGTCTCAGGTGGTCCCCCCACGGATGGAGAAAGGTGGTGGCCGCCGTCGGAGGAGACTGAGCATCTCTGTCTCTTCCCCCCCTCCCCCCCAGAGACGTGTGCAGTAAATAACGGAGGCTGCGACCGGACCTGCAGGGATACGGCCACTGGCGTGCGGTGCAGCTGCCCAGTGGGATTCACGCTGCAGCCCGACGGGAAGACGTGCAAAGGTCAGCGCGGAGCCACTCGGGCAAGGGCGGGGGCTGCCTGTGAGGGCGGGGGTGCCGTGCCAGGGCTCCCCAGCAGGGTTCAAGGGAACACTGCGTTGATAGGGCCCTTCTGTCCAAGAAAAGGGCTGCCCACTGCACTAGGCTAACGGTGTCTTCGCTGCGGGACCTCCTGGGCCCACAGTGATTCATCGTGGCCCTGGGGGGGCCGGGGGGGTTGGTTTGGCCATCTCTTCACCCTCGCCATCGTGGTCACATCTGGCGGAGCTGGGGCAACAGCACAACCCGGGGGGGGTTGGGAAGGACAGGTCTCCTTGTACCGGGATGGGATTGTCTTCTTGCCACCGTTAGAAAAATGAGGATGCTGTGTGTCCTTGTCGCCGGAGGAGTGACAGTGACATGGTGGGGGCTCTCAGCAGGGGACTAGGGAGGCAGAAGGACCTCCATTTGCAATTAGAAACGAGGCTCTGGGAGGATGGGAGAAGCTCACAGGAGCGGGCCGAGCTCCTGGCCTCTGGAAGCGAGAGCAGGTAGGGCTTGCTCTGTTCCCGCATGTTCCCTGACTCACCCCACAGAGTTCCTGAGTGCCTCCAGCAGTGCTTGGGGTGTGAGGGGTCCCTCAGGAAACAAGTGAGGGGAGCGGGGAAGTGAGAGCTGGCTGGGCTCTGGAGACTGAAGGGGCCACCCTGCAGCCCTGACAAAGGAGCCCTGAACAGCCACGGCCATTGGGCAGGGAGTAGAGGGGACCACCAGAGCCCCCTGCAAGGGAGGGAGGTGCAGCCCCTCAGCGCCGCCCGCTCGGCACCAGACTGGCCCTTCAAATCCCCCTGCCTCTGGCCCCCTGCCTCCCACCTTGCCAGGGAGCAGGCCAGGCTGGGGGGCCATGAGCGGAAGGGCAGAGGACTTGAACTTCCAAAGTCCAGTGGGTGACGATACGGACAGTGGAGGTTTCCGGTGGTTTTAAGTAGTCCGAGGGGGGCTTTTTTTAAGCCTGTAAAAATAGATAGCATATGACTTCTCCTTCCTAACTGCTCTGCTGGGAAGAAACTAGGGATTATTGACAAAAATAACAGTCCTTCCACCTGTTTATTTGAAAATAAAGCCCTTCTGTAGCCCCTGCTCATGGAGCCGAGTGGCAACATGAGGACTCAGATGCCAGGGGGACCGGCCAGGGCTCCCCGCGGTCCCAGCTGTCCCCACAGCCAGAGGCGACACAGCAGGCCTGGCCCCATGCCCTCAGAGCTGGGGCAGAAGTGGGTAAAGTCAGGCCACGCTGCCTCCCTCTGGGGCACGGGACCCCAGGGGCGGGCACGTCTCAGTTCCTGACGTGAGGCCAGGAGTGGGTGCCAGGAGCCAGCCTGTCCGCGCCCACAGCCGTGCCCAAGCAGAGCACCTGCGGGGACCTCTACTGCCCCTGCCTGGCCTTTGGTGGCCTGGGGGGCACCTGTCCCCGCCTCACGCCCACCTCGTGTCTGGGGGAGGGGAGGTGCTGAGGGCAGCTCCCCACAGCCAGAGGCCCACCCCGCCAAGCCCCCCACCCTGCTTCCCGTGGCTCCTCCTGAACCACTCCAGCCCTTTAACCACGGCTGCCCCCGCTCAGCTCTTTGCCCTTGCCCGGACCCTCTCCCTCCCGCTGCCCTGCAGGCGGCAGGTCCTCTCATTCACTCCATTCTTTCAACCCAGATGGGGTTTCTGGGCTCCTCCCCTGTGCAGGGGCTGGGGAGACAGGTGAATGGAGCAGACCTTCCCTGACCCCGGGGATCTTCTATCGGATGCAGAAGACAGTTTTTCAATTTTTAAAATCACTGAGATAAACGTGTATTACCTACTACTTGGTGCTGGATGGAGACGTCCAGCCCAGCAGAAGAGTGAGGAGCAGAGCCTGCCCTGCCCCGGCGGGGAGGGCGTGGGGAGAGGCATTTGTCGGGGCGGCCTTTCCACAGCACCGGGGCTGCAGTGCAGAGGCCAGGGGTGCAAGGACCCAAAGGGGTCCAGTGTGCCCAGGTGTGTGAGATGTGGGGCAGCCCAGGCCACATGGTGCAGGGCCTGTGTGCCGGGGAGGGCTCGGCCCTTCATCCTTTCAAGCCTTGGCGAGCCCCCCAGACATTCCCGGGCAGGGAAAGTACAGACTCGGGTTTTTCTTTTGAGCCGGTCCCCGACCACGGCTTGGGCGGGGTTCTCTGGACAGGGGCCAGAAGAGCAGCGAGGCGGCAGCTGTCATCACCCAGGCTGGGATGACATGGCTTGACCCAGGCGCTGGCCGTGGTGGTAGAAATGAGCAGTCCGGATATTGTCCTTGGAGTTAGAATTTTTTTTTTTAAAGATTTTATTTATTTGACAGAGAGAGAGACAGCAAGAGAGGGAACACAAGCAGGGGGAGTGGGAGAGGGAGAAGCCGGCTTCTCGCAGAGCAGGAAGCCCGATGTGGGGCCCGATCCCAGGACCCTGGGATCATGAACTGAGCCGAAGGCAGACGCTTAACAACTAAGCCACCCAGGTGCCCCTTTCGGAGTTAGAATTTAAGTATTGTGGGACTAGACAAAAACTGCGTAACATCCTTAAATCAGGGAACACTGGAAAATGAAGGCTGACCTCCAGACCCCAGGTTTGGCGTCTCAGAGCCTGGAGTGAACAGCCTGAGCTCCCCGGGTCGGACGGGAGAAGTGCAGGTCAGGGCGCGGGCACTTGGCAGGACAAGCCCAGCTGGGAACTCCCGGCCCGAGGCTTTGGCTCCCCAGTGGGCATGCACACCCTGGTCCTGGCAAGGGCCCAGAAGGGGATATCAAAGGAGTGATTTCAAAGGTTCAGTGTATTCTGGAAGCCAAAAGCCACTGTGAAGTAAGACCGATGGCTGGAGGGTGAAGGTAACAAAGGTCCTGGAAAATCCAGAGCTGAAAGCCCTGAGCACACAGGGGTCACACGGGCAGGTGGAGACAGGTATGGGAAAGTGGGGGGTATTCTGCCTGAAACATGGGGGCTGTGGTGCAAGAGGATTTGCCCCAAGCTCTGTTTCAAGAGTGTGGGCAGTGCAGAGGTTCAGCCTCAAAGCACCCTGTTCCCCTGTTCGGTGCTGCACCCGCTTGATATTGGGAAGGGGGCACCTTGATGATTGGCCCTTCTGAGAGGAGGGAGTTCTGGGGCCTTGACTCCCGGAGCTGGAACCTGGATTTCCTCAGAGACACCGGCCCCTCCTCCCAACATCTTCTAGAATAGTCTGGAAGAACTCCCACCTACCACCTGTTTCCTCTCCTCCCTCACCTGCCCTCTGCCCAGCAGCGCACCCCCCTCACGAGGCTGTTCTAGGGTGATGCCAGCCCACTCCCACCTGGAAGCCCTCCACATGGCCCCCGGGTTGCCACGCTGTGCCCCCTCAGCGGGAATGGGCAGAGGGGAGCAGGAGTATTTGTCCTACTGTGTGTTCCTATAGCTCCTCCCCCCTCCCCCTGTTGCTTGAACACTGACTGGCTGATGCATCCGAAGGTTCTCCTTGGCGGCCCAAGACCCAACCCTTCTCTCAGCCACTCCGACTCCTTCATTCTTCATCCACTCAGTGAATGCTGCTGGGCAGTCGCTCTGTGCAGGCCGCATGCTGGGCCCAGGGGCTCCAGACAGGAGCCAGCTCCCCAGTCTGTGTCCCTGACAAGGGAACAGCGAACTCTGGAGGGAACGTCAGGGAAGGCTTCCCCGGGAGGCCGCTGTTTCCAGGGGCCGGCCGTGTGGGGGCCGCACCGGGTGGGGCAGCCGGAGTTGGGCTGCCAAGGCAGAAGCCAAGTGTGCGGAAAGAGGAGGGCAGGGCATCCAGGCCCAGGATGCCCAGGGAGGGGCCTACAAAAAGGGGCTGGCCTTTTATCCTGGGGTGACCGGGGGCCATGGAAGACTTGCAGACAAGTAGGGGGCTGCTGGCTGCCTGGTGGGGTCGGAGGCAGCATGAGCACAGTGAGGAAAGAGAGGAGCCTTAGAAGGGCAGGAAGGGGAGAGAGGAGCAGAGACTGCACCCCGGGGTCCCGTCAGAATGAAGGTCCACGGGCTTTGTGACTGTATCCTGGCTAGAGCTGGGGGTGCTTCCCCCACTCTGACCCCCAGGCAGCCGCCACACCAGCCTGGCCTCAAGCAAACATGCCTCCCATGGCCTGTCTGGTTGCCATGACAGCCCTCCACCGACAGGCCCAGATGGGGATGGGGATGGGATTGGGGGTTCCAGAAGGCCTGGCATTCCTGAGGAGGCAGACCCGCTCTGCACATTTAGTCTGTGAGAGGCGCCTGTTCCCAGCCCTGTTCACAGATGGGGAACCTGAGGCTCAGAGAGGTGCCTTTCCCTGCCCAGAATCACATAGCTAGCCGGGACAGAGCAGAGACAGATCTCCATTCTCCTGCCAGAGGCTTTTAGCTAGAAATTTCCCTGTCTTCCTATAATCCCCAGGGGGAGAGGATAACAGAGGTGCCCAGGCTTCTGCCCAGGATGGGCCCTCAACTGAACTTAATGTCTGCTTTCTCTGGAGGCTGCAGGGCCAGCACGGTGCTCTGGAGAAGGCCTGTCTTTGGAGACGGCTGGAACTGGGCCCCAATTCGGCTGCTGTGTGTAGCTGCGTTCCCCTCTGTAAAATGGGGGATCTGGTCCCCCAGTTGTTCTGAAGATCACACAAGACTTTGCCAGAAAGTGCTTGGCCTGGTCACCAGCATGAGGTGCTGCCCAGTAGGAACAGTGAGCACCAGCAGGTCTGACTACCTGCTGTGGGGTCTGGGCTCACCCTTAGGCATTTTTGTTCCTGGAATAATCACGTGTGCAGAGTTCCTGGACTTGAAAAGTCATTGTTTTTAGTGATCATTTCGGTGTGCAAACATAGAGCACCTACTGTATTCAGAGGCCAGGGTCTGATTTCGGGGCCAGGTCTGGTGACCCGCAGACCTCCCTTAGTGGGGACCACCTCAGGTTCCCCTCCTTTGCCATCTTCCTGGTGCCAAAGTCACCAGAACATGCAAACAGAATGGGTCTTTGGGGTAGAGGTGCCTGGAGTCGGGAGGAAGGCAGCCAAGGGCAAGGAGATGCAGGGCATGCCCACTGGGTGCCCTGCACCCCTCAAGGCCTGGTCCCACAGGGGCCCCCCAGGAAAGCCGCTCTGGGGTCCGACCCTGGCAGGCTTGCTGTGGCCCTGTGCTATGCTAGATCCCCTCCCTGGGGCTCTGAGAACTGCCCACAGGGGCGTCTCAGCCTTGCTCCGGACCACACACCTGGGGTTTGTTGTTGGGGAACATTCTTTGAGAACACCACTTTAGGACTTTTCTGCAGGTGTGAGGTCTAGCTCGTTTGGTTTGAGGGGGAAAAAAGTGAGGTGCCATCTGGGATTTGGAGTTGCTGGGATGGGCCAGAGTCCCCTCCATGGGGCTCAGCACAAAGGCGGCCGGTGGACCTTGCTTGTTGGGCAGTGCCATTTATTCAGGACAGGGGGCCCGGGCCCTCACGCTCAGGACAGGCTCAGCGAGGGTGGGAGTCCGAGTCAGCAGCTCTGCTGAGATGCGCCCGGTGGCCGACTCCAAGAAGTCCTTTCTGGTTTCCTTTACTTCCCTTCACCCCCTCCAAATCAGGGTGAGAACCCTGTTCTTTTTTTTTTTTTTTTTTAAGATTTTATTTATTTATTTGCGAGAGAGAAAGAGACAGAGAGCGTGAGAGGGAGGAGGGTCAGAGGGAGAAGCAGGCTCCCCGCCAAGCAGGGAGCCCGATGCGGGACTCGATCCCGGGACTCCAGGATCATGACCTGAGCCGAAGGCAGTCGCTTAACCAACTGAGCCACCCAGGCGCCCCGAGAACCCTGTTCTGAAAGCTCTGCTAGTATGTGCTGGGTCGTGTCAGCATGGGGAGCCTTGGGCTCAGGGCCCAAGAGGAACTGTGGAGTCAGAAGAGACATCTCAGGGACAGGGTCTCTGACAACACAGTCCAGGCTGGCCTGGAGCCCAGAGAGCAAAACCCAGATAAGCAGGGCAAGGGGGGGGGCAGGCAGGAGGGAACTCACAGGAGTCAGGGGGACGTTTGTGATGCATCAGCCAACAGGCGGTGCTGCTGTGAGGGAGAAAGCGGCCCGGTCGCCAGAGGTATGCGCCGCTGGCCAGGCTGCTTGGGAGGGGCCATTCATTGCATGGGGTTAGGCCAGGTGACCTTCAGGGTCCAGCCACAGCTCGTCCATTGGATGCTGAGTGAAGAAACTGCTCAAACCAACAGGCTGAATTAGAGGGGGAAGCCAGCCAGCCCAGGAACACCCTTACCTTTCTACGCCTCCCATCAGTAAAACAGGGGCATTAAACCTACAGATTGTTGACTGACACTCACTCAGCACCAGCACCCCAGGAGCATTAGTTCATCAGCTCCTCATGCTGTTCTTCCAAGGCGGGGGAGCCAAGGCTCCAGGGGCCCAGGAGCTCGCCCCAGGTCGCAGCCGTGGGGAAGCAGCCAGCCCGCTCCAGGCCGCACTGCCTCCCGGAGTGTCGTCCTGTCCCGTCCCCCGTCCCCGTGGTCTCGCCCCGCACAGCAGCCATCGCTTCCCTCCCTTCTTTGCCACGAATGCCCGCCGGGCTCGCCAACTCGGGGAGGCGGCGTAACTCAGCCTCCGCCCCCCGCCGCTGGGAGCCAGGCCCCTGGGCCGCCTGCCCCGATGGGGCTGGGGGGACCGGAGCCCGCGGCGGGCAGCGGGCGCAGGGCCGGGCGGGGGCGGGGCGTCCTCCCCCCACCTGGCAGCCCGGCCCACTCGCCCCGCCCCGCCCCGCCCCGTCCGCTGGGCGCCCCGCAGACATCAACGAGTGCCTGGCCAACAACGGGGGCTGCGACCACTTCTGCCGCAACACCGTGGGCAGCTTCGAGTGCGGCTGCCGGAAGGGCTACAAGCTGCTGACCGACGAGCGGACGTGCCAAGGTGAGCCCCGTGCGCCCCCGACGGCCTCGCCCCGCCCTTCCCGGGCCTGCGCGGGCTCCGGGGGGGGGGGGGGCTAGGGCCAGGCTGTGTCGGCCCCGCTGGCCGGTCCGAGCGTGCACCTGCCCTCCCCGCCTTCTCTGTCCTTCATGACTCGAGGTCCAACCGTCCCTTTTATGGATGGGAAACTGAGGCCCGGAGGCGCATCCGCACGTGGCGGGGGGTGGTGGCCGGGGGGTGGTTACCACAGTGAGTCGGTGGCAGAGCTCGTCAGCTCCAGCGCCCTGTCCTCCCGGTGGCCCCCGGGCCTCCCCCCGAGGCTTCGGAGGTGCGCTGCCGCCGCCTGGTGGAAGGCGTGGCACATTGCAGTCGCTCTCCTGCGGTGCTTCCTTAGGGTTCCTGGGCGCCTGCGAGGAGCCACCAGGGTGATGTGAGGTCTGGGCAGAAGCCAGGAATCACAGTCCAGCACAAGTCCAGGAGACATCCGGGATGCAGTGAGAGCCCAGAGGATGGGCAGCGGAAAGACTGGTCAGGGAAGGCTTCCTGGGGAAGGGGTAACTGGGAAATAGGCATTTTCCCCGAGGAGTGGCAGACTGCACATGGCTCAGTGGGCCTATCAGTGCAGCTTAGGGCTGGCCCTGGGGCAGCACGAGGCCCTCGGGGGCACGGGATGTGCTCTCCCAAGGACACAGAGGAAGGCAAGAGCAGGAGGCTGGTAAGGGAGGGTCTAGGGCCAGCCTGTCCTGAGCCCATCCTATGACCCGAGCCAGTCCCCTCCCCTCCCTGGCTCAGCCTCTTCATTCCTTGAGGGGTCTCCTGGCCCTGTCTTCCCCTTAGGGCGTGAGGGCCCATTGGGAGCACTTCACCTGTCCAGACTCCACTACACTTTGACTTAGTTTCTCCATCTGCCTTGCCAAGTTCTGTGGAGGGCTAAGGGAGGGCCCTTGACTTTGTACTCCCAGCTGCCCCGTGAGACACCCACCACTGAGGAGGAGGCCATGATGTTTTTGCTTCTGGGCTCCAGCCAGTCTTCTCCACTCTCTACCAGGCTCGTCTCTCTGAGGCCCCAGGGCTCTGACCATGTCCCAGCCCTGCTCCAGCACCACCCTGGGCTCTAATTTCCTTTGCCTGGCACTCAGGCCCTTGGGATGGGGACCTCAGCCACCTCCCCAACCCCCCTGAGCTCCACACAGTCCCCTGGAGGCCCCGTGCTGCCCCCTCCCGACCTTTGCTCGTAGTGCCCTTCCCCCACTTCCATTCCTTCCTTCCAAGCTAGTCCCACCCTTCAAGGTCTAGTCCAGGTGCCACAAGTACCAGGAGATCTTCCCAGATTCCCCTGCTGGGAGGGATCACATCCTCCTTTGAGCACCCACAGTGTGATTCCTTCCTTGTGCTAGAATTATTACAAACACACGTATATCATCAACACGTGTAGTCACATGAGCTAATATATTCAAAGAATGACCTCCAATTACAGTGCCCATGGAAAGGTGGGCCAGTGGCTGTTTTGCCCTCAGGAGCCCCCATCAGCTGTCCTATGAGAGCCATTTTCCTCAGAATTTATGGCCAGGACAGACTTGTCTTCTATGAGCATGCGATTCATTTCCTCCTTTCCAGTAACACGCACCCTGTGACCCTTTTTCCTTTTTACCTTGGCTGCCAGGAAGCTCAGAATGAAATTTCACATACTGTCAAGGTTTTCTTGTTATTCCTTATGGGTAGCGTATCCCCCACCCATACCCCTTTCTCTTTGGGCTGTTTTCCTTGTTTTCTCAAGAGATCTCTTGGCGTGATAGGAAAACACACTGTGGTCGGCATCCAGAAGGCCTGGTTTCGTGTTCCAGTTCATTTGTCTCCTCAGGCAAGCCCCCATCAATTTGCTGTAGATGCAGATTAAACATTCATTCTGATCACACCTGAATGTGAGATATTAAAATGGCAGACATAATACCTGGTATCCAAAGTACTTACACCCTCCCCACCTCCAGAAAAGATGGGAAATGGCTTCTAACCCAGAAACATAAGGTTAACAGAGACAAACTGGAAAATCAGGCTGTGACCAGAAGCCGACATTCGCTGTGGATCAGCTGTGCCCTAAGCCTCGGGGGCCCAGGGACTGTCTGCGTGCAGATGCGCATTGAGCGACTGAGTGCCAGGCCATGCCCACCCAGCGCCCTGAAACTCCTCCCTCCACTGTCTCCCTGTGGCCACAGACATCGACGAGTGCTCCTTCGAGCGGACCTGTGACCACATCTGCATCAACTCCCCGGGCAGCTTCCAGTGCCAGTGTCACCGTGGCTACATACTCTATGGGACAACCCACTGCGGAGGTCTGCAGCCCGCCCGCCAGGGCCACCTTCCCCCTGAGGCACGCGCCTGGCCGCATGGCCACCTCTGCTGCACCCCACACCCTGACCCCGACCTTGACTCCGGAGGGCCCCTAAGCAAGGCCAGGTTCTGGTGGGCAGAGGGGCTCAGCCAGGAGCAAGGTGGGAAGATGGGGGCAGGGAGCAGCAAGTATCAGCTAGGTGGCAGGCCTCAGGCCAGGCTGTGGGCATAGGCCCCAGAAATGGCAGCTACAAGGGAACCTCGGTCCAGAACGGGGGATGGCCACTACACAGAATCCCACAGACAATTCGTCCCAGTGGGAGAGGGTGAAAACAGAAGGGCAGGGTATGGAGACCTGGGCGGGGGGGTCCTAAAGGAGGAGCATCTGGGTCAAGATGAGGGAAAGCATGCCAGAAGGATCAGCATATGCAAAGGCACTGAGGTAGCACAGAGGGACCCAGAAGCAGTTGGTAGAGCCCCGTGAGGGAAGGAAAATGTGGTGCACGATGCTGATAGGGAGGAAGCAGGGCTTTGTGAGGCCTGCAGGTGATTTGGGTTTTCTTCCTCGTGCGATGAGAGACTGTTGGAGGGTTTAAGTAGGGGTGTGACGTGGGCATGTTCAGGTAATGAGATCACTCTAGCTGCCACGTGTTCAGGAGAGCGGAACCCAGGGCACCAGCAGGGAGAGGGTTCCAGGCATGAGAGCCAGGGCCACTGAGCTCGGGCAGGGTGGGAGGTGTGCAGAGAAGGGAAGGTTCTAGAAGTATTCAGCTACAGATGATGGGACTTGGAGATGTGCAGGCATGGCAGGTGGAGGTGGGGGAGCCAAGAATGGCCCCAAGGTCCTAGGGTCTCCTCACTTCCTGAGACCACACTCCCTCTGCTGGGCTGCTGTGCAGGTCGGATGTGGTCAGGCGTGAAGTGATCAGGCACAACTGGTGTTGGGGGGAAGGGGCCCCTGGGGTGGGCTACAGATTCTTCTGGAGGGACCTCCAAAAACCTGGGCACTGGCTCCCCTGGGCCTGCCGCTCCCTGACTGCAGGCCGCCCAGATGCTCAGAGCCAGGCACCCCAGCATGAGTGTGGCCAGCCCCCTCCCCATCTCCAGCGGGCCCTCTGGTTCCTTGGTGGCCAGGGCAGGAAGGGTTGGAAGTGGCTTCTTTCACCCTGGGGCCCGTTGCACAGAGGGAAACAGCCTGTCCGAAGCCCCAGCAAGAGAGACCTCACAGCCCCTGCCTCACGAGACCTGCTTGGCACTTGAATTTTGTGCCACCTTCTGCCCTCCCCCGCCCCCCCGGTCTGGGTGCAGCTGCTGGAGGTCGGCAAACAGCTGGGGTTCCTGGGGGAGGGGTCGGGGTCGGTGTCTGTGTCCATCCGCCTCGTGTGCGTGCACTCCTGCGTGTGACGCGTGCGGCTGCCTGTCTGCATCTGATGCGTGGCCGGCTGCCGGCAGGGTCAGGGGACTCTCGGCCCTCTGGTCCCGGGTGGCCCTGCCCTGCCAGCCAGCCTCCTGCCCTGATGCCCTTCCTCCCCCCTGTGCTTCCAGATGTGGACGAGTGCAGCATGAACAACGGGAGCTGTGACCAGGGCTGCGTCAACACGAAGGGCAGCTACGAATGCATCTGCCCCCCGGGGAGGCGGCTCCACTGGAACCGGAAGGACTGTGTGGGTGAGTGCCCTGGGGTGGGCCACTGCTGGGACCCCTGAAGAAGGGCCTGGGCGCTGGCTTCCCCCTCTTCTGCCAGGTGCCTGGATGGGAAGGGCAGTGACCTCTCAGGGTGGGGTGAGCATGGGGTGAACAACACGGGCCTACCTCGCCTGGGAGGGGGGTTCTCGGCAGGGAATCTCTGCTGCTGGGATGGGGCTAATGGGAAGGAGGACTTGCAGAAGAAGAGGGGATGTAGGTGGGAGAGCATGCTGAGTGCCAGCCAGAGGCACAGAAACGGACCTACAGGGGGAGGGGGACACAGAGGTGAAGATCTGGGGGTCAGTGTGTGCAGCTAGGGCTGTGGGCTCAGGAGGAGCTAGAAGCTCAGAGGGCACAGAGGTTTCCACGCCCCCATCGCCCCCTGGTCCTGCCAGGAAGCTGGGGGAGGGGAGAGGTGGCTACTCGGGCTGCAGCAGCATCAGAGTCTGGAGGGGAGCCCCTGGGTCTCCGCAGCCCCGCCACCTGCCCAGGCCACTGGCCCCACAAGGTCCAGCACGGGAAGAGGAGGGGGCCTCCCAGCAAGCGCAGCGTTCCTGCGTCCTCTGCTGGTGGGCTCTGGAGACTTGGGGCAGCTCCAGGCCAAGTTCTGGACAGTCCCCCACATTCATTGGTTCTACAAACACATGGTCACCCACTACATGCCAGGCTTGCTGTGGATGCTGGGGCCACGGCCCTGAAATGGCTCTTAGATCTTTGCCCTGTCATGCCCTAACATCCCCAGGGCAGCCAGAGCCAGCCTTTGATTTTATTTTTTAAACTTGTTTTTTTTCTCCATGCCTGCGTGGAGCCCAACACAGAGCTTGAACTCACAACTCTGAGATCAAGACCTGAGCTGAGATCAAGAGTCAGATGTTCGTAATGTATGGGGATTAACATAACAATTAAAAAAAAAAAAGAGTCAGACGTTTAACCGACTGAGCCACCCAGGCACCCCCAGAGCTGGCCTTTTGAATCTGACTCAGAATGTGTTCCTCTCTGCTCAGAGCTCTCACGACTCACCCCTCTTCATGTGGAAGCAAAGCCAGAGTTCTTAGAATGGCCCAAAGGCTACTGGACCTTGGCCTAATGGCCTTCTGCCCTCACCCTCATCCACCCCATGCTAGCTTCAGTGACCTCGAGGTTGCTGCCCACCCCCAACTGACATGGCCATGCCAGGGCTCCCCGCTTGGCCTGGAGGGCTCTTCGCCCCTGTCACTGTCGACTCTGGGAGGCCTTCCTTGCACCCCACCCACTACCCCCCACCTTCTCGTTTTCTTTTCTCCCATTGTACTTCCCACAGCTATATATATATAATATACATTAGATATATATATATATACTCTACACAGTGGAGTACATACCTTTGCCTGTTTCATTCACTGCTATATCCCCAGCACCTAGAACAGAGCCTGGCAAGTGTAGGCACTCAGTAAATATTTGTTGAATGAATGCGTGAGAGTATTGAAGAATGGATACCATCACTTAGCATCTGATATCAAAAAGCTGTTGTTCAGGCAGTCCTGGTGAGCAAAGCCAACCGCTGATCTTGTCCGGAGTTGCAAGGAGGAGGCTGTCTGGGGCTGTGCTGGAGAGGAAGCATGAAATGGTGTGCATTCCGGGAGCCTGGCTTGTGCTGGGAACTAAGACCGGATGGGTTGACTCCAGCCTATGAATCTGCCACCAGTTTGCTGACTTTCCGAGCCTGGAAAGTAATGGTTGGGCTGGCTTTCAGAGGCATGTCTGCTGATGGATGAGGGTCGTGCTAGGTCTGGTGTTGACTTGTTACCAAAGCTGTCAGGCCAGCAGGCTTTCTCTAGGTATATGGGGAAGGAGCGCTTTTTATCCTCAGCACCCTATCAGCCAGAGCTGCGGGAACAGCCACTGGGGCTTGTCTGGGTCCTCACGGCCACCGACCCTGCTCCAAGAGTCACTGGCGGAGGTCTGATTGTCAGTCAGTGTGACTGTATCCCACTCCTCCTAAGTCACCTGCTAGGACCATGGTGACTACATAGAAGCAGTTAGCATTCTGGACACTAGACTTGGGAAGACTGAGACGAACAAGCATAGCTGAAAATGTTCTTAGAAGGTTCTGGAAGGCCCTCCAGACCCGTGACCCAAGAGTTCCCAGGACTGACCACAGCAGGTCCAAAGTGAAGGGCTGGCAGTGACGACCCCCCTGACTGGTCAAAAGAAAATCCAAGTTATCACTGTGACCCTGGTGCTTGCCCTAGGAAGTCAGCCTGGTTCGGCATGCCCCCCACACCACGCCATGGGCTGTCTCATTTACTACAGCGCCCAAGGCAAGGGGCATATTTTTGATGACCACTCGGAGCTGCCCGGTTCCTGTGGATGGGACTGACAGCCTCCACGGTCTGCTTCACCAGGTGTCATTTGTGTCCCTCAGAAGGGAATTCTGTCCTCAGATGGCTTGCAAATGGCATCGTTCACTGAGGGGTTGGGGGAGCCATGTACTTGGAACAGTCTGATAGCCCCCCAGAACCATCAGCTGTGGTCCCGGGGGGCATTGAGGAGCCAGACCCCATGTAACAGATGGCATCCACCTCAGTGGAGCTGTAGGGATATCATCTGGGGTGTCGCCGTGAGAACTAGTTAGCTACGTGGCAAGATAGCTGAATCCACCTTTCCCAGCATGTGGGCATTCTCCTCTTCTATGTATTGCCCACAGAGAATGTCGTAATTAATAAGGTTTGGGTAACGTACTTTATACCAGCTTTCAATACCGATTTCCCTAGCAATAGTTTGGGGGACTGATTTAAAGAATTAGGATGGTGGCTATCGCTAGCAAGGCTTAGATCCAGGCCAGTTATTATTGGTGAGGGAAGCATAATAGAGCAGATCCGTGGTGTATAATCTTAAACGTGTAAGGTGGGAGAGCATGACCCGAAGAACCAAGAACAAAGGTCTGCGAAGGAGCACGTGCAAGTCAGTGGTTGCAAACATCAAGGCGAATTTATTCCAGTGGCCGTGGGTGAGAGCCGTCCCTATGTCTCATCTTCTGCCTGTCCTGAGAATCTTGGGAAATCGTTGGTTTGTGTGCATTGCCCACTTCTGGGGGTTCTCTTGAGAACCCCAGTTCAAGATCTATAAGTTGTGACTTTGTAGTAAGTTCTGAAAAATCCACTTCTGTGTTCCCAAAAGATACGGAGTAAAAAGACAGTGAAACTTCTGAGTGATTTATGAATAACCCTCCCAGTAAAAGGTGTCTGCGTATTACTAAATAAATAAGTTGGACTATCCCAAATAAGGAACACAGGATCTAGTAATATTTTAGCTCCTACGAATGCTCCATTTTTCTCAACAAGCGACTGCTTTAATTCATCCAGAAAGTAAATATGCTATTATAAGCACACAATTATAATCTGTCAAATCCATTTGGAGATGCTCAAGGGGTCCTTTAGGGTTTGTTCTGGTTTTTACTCTTTACCCAGAATTCTGCTGACTGCAGGTGAGCCTTGAACTGCTCATCTCCTCTGCTGGCCTGGGAGAGTTTCTCACCTTCTCGTCTACCACCACAGCCGGTTTGTCCCCCCTGGGATGAGCTGTCTTAAAGGAAACATGAGCACATGCCCAAGTGAGGTGGTCTGGTGGGTCCCGGGGGCCATCCTGGTTTCACTGGGATACCATCCTCAGGGGGCTTGCAACGTGATTGTTCCACTTGGCTCCTTCTCAGAGTAGGAAGGCAAACACAGTGTGTCTGCAATGGAATCCCCACGCCTCTTCCATGGACCTGTGGCTCTGTGCTGTCTGTCGGAAGTCCTTCCCTGGGGATCACGGTCAGAGCTTCCCATTTAGCGTGATGACCCAGGAAGCATTGCCTCTGACTTCCATCCCTCGGACCGTGGGCCTCTGTGTCTCAGTTACGGGCAGTAAACCCCTCTGTTTCCAGAGCATCGCTAAGTTGAACACCACAGCTGTCCGTATACAGAGCTACCCTTGATCTTCAGCAACGGCACGTGCCCTGGAGATGGCCCCAGGTTCGGCCACTGGAGCCAGCATGAGTCCCTTAGGACATTACTCCAGCCTGGATAGTTCTTGTAAATCCAACCTAGTGTCATCTCTCCTCCTTTTGTTTTTTGTTTTTATTAACAGCTTCATTGAGATATAATTCCCATGCCATACAAGTCCCCCATTTAGCGTGCAGTTCAATGCTGTTTAGTATAATCACAGAATTGTACAACCACAATGAATTTTAGAGCAGTTTCATTACCCCAGAAAGAAACCCTATGCCCATAGCAGTCATTCCTCATTTTCCCTCAACCCCCAGCCCTAGGCAACCACCATCTACTCTTGTCTCCGTGGATTCGCCTGTTCCGGACAATTGGCATAAGTGGAATCATATAACATGGGGCCTTATCATTCCATTTAGTGTAATATTTTCAAGGTTCACCCAAGTCATAGTGCATGTCACTGCTTCATTCCTCTTGACAGCCAAATTATATCCCGCTGTCTGCTTAGCCCACATCTTGTTTATCCACTCATCGGTGGATGGACATGTGGGTTGTTTCCAGTTTGGGGCATGTCATGAAGAACGCTGCTGTGTCAGCATATGTTTTCAGTTTCCTCGGGTGTATGCCCAGGGGTGGAATTGCTGGGTCATGCGCCTACGCTGGGTTTAACTTTTGAGGAACCGCTAGCCTGTTTTCCAAAGAAGCTGCGCCATTTGAGGTCCCACCAGAAGTGTGTGAGGTTCCGATTTCAGCACGTCCTCAGCCACCCTTGCTGTTTCCTGACTTTTTGATTATGGCCATCCTGAGGGGGGAGGGGTGAAATGGTTTCTCATTGTGGTTTTGATTTGTATTTCCCTGACGGCCAATAGGTGTTGAGTACCTTCCCATGTGCTTATTGAGTATTTGTAGATGTTCTTTCAAGAAATGTCTATTCAGATCCTTTGCCCATTTTTCAAATTGTATTATCTGTCTTTATTATTCGGTTATAAGAGTTCTTCATATACTCTAGATACGAGTTTCTTACCAGATATGTGATTTGCAAGGGATTTTCCCCATTCTGTGAGCTGTCTTTTCATTTTCTTGATGGTATCTTTTGAAGCCTAAAGGTTTTTAATTCTCACAAAGTCAATTTATCTATTTTATTTCTTTGGCTGCTTGTGGTTTGGGTGTCATTTTTAAGAAACCACTGCCTAATACAGGGTCCCAAAGATTTACAGCTGTTTTCTTCTAAGAACTTTATAGCTTTAGCTCTTATACTTAATTTGTATATGGTGTGAGACAGGGGTCCACCTTCATTCTTTTGCCTGTGGAAAGCCAGCCCATTGTCACAGTGCCATTTGTTGAAAAGACCATTCTTTTTTTTTTTTAAGATTTTATTTATTTATTTGACAGAGAGAGACACAGTGAGAGAGGAAACACAAGCAGAGGGAGCGGGAGAGGGAGAAGCAGGCTTCCCACTGAGCAGGGAGCCCGATGTGGGGCTCAATCCCAGGACCCTGGGATCATGACCTGAGCCAAAGGCAGATGCTTAACAAATGAGCCACCCAGGTGCCCCGAAAAGACCATTCTTTTTCCCCGGTGAATTATCCTGCCATCTTCTTGAAATCAATTGGCCATAAATGTGTGGGTTTATTTCTGGGCTCTCTTTTCCATTGATCCATTTGTCTTGATGCCCGTATCCCACTGTCTTAATTAATGTAGCTTTATAGTAAGTTTTTAAATCATGAAATGAGAGTCTTCCAACTTGGTTTTTTGTGTTCAAGATTGATCTGGCTATTCTTGAACTTACTTTGAGTTTCCATATGAATTTTTAAAGTCTCTTCGTTATTAAGATACGTGCCATCAACCAACAGTACTGAGTCAGGACTTGGTATGGAATGTCCAAAAGATCTGTTTTGGATATGAGCACGTCTGAAGTACAGACACACAGAGATGAATTTCTCCGTCAGGAAGAGATAGGAGATGATCGGCGGTAATATGAGAAAGATAAAGGAACCAAATACCATAATTTGTTCAATGACAAGCAGAGAAAATACTGGGTGTTTTCAGTTCTCAGTGGGGGTCATCCTGCATGTGGGACCCTCAGATTAAAGGGGATTCTAGGACGAGATCTGAAGATGCTCCAACACGTTAGCCAAGGCGTTGCCCTGAGGCAGGGAGGTCGAGCCTTGGTCATGGATGTTTGCTGTGTTGCTGAGCTTGTATCCTGAGAGCATGGCCTATCTTTGCATGTTCGTACCAAAAAAAAAAAATTTATGGCAGTCTGGACTCTTCCTGGGCTCTGTTCCATTTGTTCTGCTGATGTGGAAGCTTTGCCCCAGGGATCCTGTTTTTGAATCATACGTAATATGTATATGAAGGCTCCTATCAGCTATAAATTGAATCATGCGTAGGAGAATTTTCTGGGACTTCTAAAAATAACCTCACAGATATATTTTAGGTGTATTTATTTGGAGACATATTTTAGCTGTCAGTTCCATTTGCAGAGGAGATTCTGCCCCACGGCATGGGTAGGGGCTTTGACCCACGGAACGGAGGGTTGTCTTCTGATAACAGCTCCCAAGGAGCAGTTACAGGTTGGAACTTGGGAAAGGACCAAGGCTTGTTAGAGTGTCCACTGCCTCAGTGCTTTAAGTAAACCAGAGCAAATCAAGGTCATGGCCTCCCAGCCTTCTGCAACTTCGTGTCTGCGTCCAGAGCCACCTCTTACTATCTTCATTCATATTCCCCACAAGCAGGCATTCTTACTTTAAGGCAAACAGAATTTTTTTTTTTTTCACTTATCGCCAATTTGCCTTCCCTCTTGCTTCTTAGGTGACTTTAAACTTTTCTCTGGGCTTTGGTGTTCGGCGGTGATGGAATCAATGGGTGTATATGGTGGGGTCAGAGATTTTGCCTACATGCAGCTCGTAAGCCAGCCTGCTGCTGTTTCCCGGGTGCCCCGGACGTCCTGGAACCCTGGGGCCAGAGGCGAAGGACTTCAGTATTCAGCACAGCAACCAGCATAAAGAGCACATTTGTGTGGGTTCCCCTGCCCCACCCCCAAGTCCCATCTGCCCCCTCGATGCCATACAGATGGAGAACTTGCATCCCAGCCTGGGAAACTCACCACTTTTATGGTGAACAGAGCCGGGCTGCTCCTTATCTAGGAGGACATGTTCCCTCATCCCTCGAAGCTGCTCGAGGCAAACATAAGCCTGAGAAATGGTCTGGGGAAGGGGCTGTCAGTGCTTTGCGTCCTCAGGGTCCCAGTGAGAGCCCCCAGCGAGAGCCCCTACACTCTGGGCTGGGATGGTTGCCTCTCCCAACCATCCCAGCCCCCATCGGTACCAGAAAGCAGTGTTGCTGTCCACCAGTAATCACTGATAATTCCCTTTAGGAATTTGGAGAAAGTCCAAGGAAGTATCCGGGGCTTAGGTCTCCCTTGGAAGTTTGTAGATGATTGTCCTTCTGCTTCTCAACCAGCAGGAACATTGGTTCTTCCAGTGGCCCTTCTATCCTGCATTATCTGCAGGTGGTTTTACTTGAAGATTCCTGATTCTTTGGGAACAGAGAACTTTCAGTCTTGTATTTACTTGGGGGCCAGCTGTTTTATCTGGAGGGCCGTGAGTTTGTTTTTATTTCTAGATTATTTACTTGCTAAGACTCCTTGAAAATGTCGAGCCACATGTTGAAGATCACCCACACTGGCCATTTCCCACTTCCATTTATTTTTCTGGCTGAGTCTCCTACTTCAGCCTGCTCGCCCGAGCGACTGGCCCATCGACAACAGCCTCTGTGGGGCACTTCCAGGGGCGTGCCCATTTCAGCCAGTTGTCACTGACCAGCCAGACGGGGATAAAACCAGTTCTGAGTTTACCGTGGCTATAGGCCTGTCAGTCCTTTTAATCAAAAGATTAAAAAACGCCTGAGAGGGACACCTGAGTGGCTCAGTCGATTAAGTGTCTGCCTTCGGCTCAGGTCATGATCCCAGGGTCCTGGGATCAAATCCCGCATCAGGCTCCCTGCTGAGCAGGGAGCCTGCTTCTCCCTCTGCCTGCCGCTCTCCCTGCTTGTGCTCTCTCTCTCTCTCTCTCTCTGACAAATAAATAATAAAATCTTTAAAATAAAATAAAAAATACATAAATAAAAAACACCCACAAAACTCTGAAGAGCTTAGTTTGGGACATCTCTGGACACCTAATGGATTTGTCCAGCAGCTGCCCCAGAGAGGGGCTCCCAGTGACCCTCACATGCTTAGAAGTCGGTCACTGCCAAGAAGCCCATGTCACTTCCACCTGCTCCCTTACCCAGAGGGGCATGGACACCTGCTCTGGAGAATCCAGCCCTGCCCTCTGGTCTGGGCCTGTGATGTGAGGCTTCTCACAGATAGCCTGGACTGGTCAGAGGGAGGAGCGAGCCAGCTCTCTGGGCCCGGCATCCCCACACATCCAAGTACATGTGGACCCCGCCATCTCCCAGCCCCTTCCCACCAGGGTCTGGCCACAGGATGGGGATGTGGCAGGAGTCCCCGATGGTCCACGCTCAGGGGCAGCGCCTCCAGAAGCCTCCACCCTGTCTCCCTCCAGCCCTCTCTTATGTCTTCCCCCTCCTCAGAGACAGGCAAGTGCCTTTCTCGGGCCAAGGCCTCCCCCTGGGCCCAGCTGTCCTGCAGCAAGGTGGGCGGCGTGGAGAGCTGCTCCCTTTCCTGCCCAGCCCACTCACTCTTCGTGCCAGGTAACCTGAGGCCGTCCCCGGGAAAGGATGAGGGAGTGGGGTGGGGGGCTTCCTTCCCTGGGGTCCAGCCCCTGCTCCCTGCAGGGGAAAAGAGCCCAATCTAGGAATGAGGCCCCCTGGCCCCGATCACTGAGAGATCCTGGCTCCCTGTCTGGTTCCCTACGGGCCACAGCATCCCTCTCCACAAGTGCAGTGGGCCCGTTCCGTCCCAGCTGCTTACCCACAGCAGCCCTTCTGAGGCCTCCATCTCACCCCTGGCCTCTCTGCAGACTCGGAAAACAGCTACAGCCTGAGCTGCGGCGTCCCGGGTCTCCAGGGCAAGATGCCGCCGAAGCATAACAACACCAGCTCCAGCACTGGGCCCAGCTGCTCAGGTAGCCCCCAGCCTGTCCGTGCTGCCCGCGCCCGGTGACCCCTGGACGTTGCGTCCAGCCCTAGCCTGGGACGGGAGGGAGGACCACTACCTGGGGAAGAGCTTCCTGGCCTGGGGGCCGGCCCAGCATGGTCCAGGTGCTGGTGAGCTGACAGCAGGACTGGGACCTCTGGGCCACACTCCAGTGCTGCAGTGACTCTGACCTGCTAGGACTCTTCGGGTCTCAGACTCCGTTCCAGGGAAGTGAGTCACCTCCGCTGTGACCACGAGGTCGCCGAAGTCCTGTGCCCTGCGGGACCCACAGCGCAGCCAACTCCCCTGCCTGCAGGCGGGTCTTCAGCCGATTTTCCTATTCAGGAAGTTGAATTCAATGCCAGGGGGACATCTGTGTGCATTTAATGCATACAGGATGTGATGCTGACTATCTGTGATTGTCATTCTTTATCCAAGCCGCTGGAATTTGCTCTTGGAAGGAATCAGCAGCTCAGGGCATGTGTCTTATTTCAAAGCCCCTTCCCTTCCTTGCTTCCCTCTCTCTTCTGTTCTGCCGCCTTTCCTAACAGCATGAGCCACGTGAACTGGGCGGTGGGGGAGGAGGTGGGAGGCCTGCCGTTCCTCCTCCACAGAAGACCCCCGACCGTGAGGCCCCCGGCTTGAGCGTGGCCCCACCATCCATGCTCCCACCTTTTCCAGGCCGTGCAGGGAGAGGAGTGAGGCAGTGGGGTTCCCCCAGCCCCAGCCCCCAGTGGATTGGTCCTGCTGGCCGCCCCCTCACACTCAGGCACTCCCTCTGTGGCCCCCCGGCCCCACCGCCTCCCTGCCCACGAGAGAGGCTGCCACCTGGGGGGATCTGGGCTTTCCCCAGGTGCGCCTGCCCCCGTCAGGCAGAAGGCCCGCTTCAAGATCCGAGACGCCAAGTGCCACCTCCGGCCCCACAGCCGGGAGCCAGCAAAGGAGGCCCTGAGGCAGCTGCTGCTGGGTGAGTGGGCTGCCATGGTGCCAACCCACACAAGGGGTGGGGGGGGTCCCCGCGCCTGAGAGCTGGGAGCCCAGGGTCCAGCGGGGCTGGGTTTCCAAGGGCGGGGGCCTCTCTTCGTCCTCACCATCATGGTCCCAGAGCCCCAGGAGCCAGGCCTAGAGCCCTGTAGACGGTGGTGGTGTCCCTTGGGAAGAAGGCCAGCACTGGAGTGGAAAATCTGGGCCCCCCAGCCCCCCTGGGGCCCATCGTCCCTGCCTCACCCGGGGTTAGATGAGCTCCCCCGGGGCAGGTGCTGTGTGCAGCCTGACTGTGTCCAGAACGCCTCCCGGGGCTCCCTCAGTGGCTCATTCTTGAATGAGGGAGGCCAAGAAGGGCGTTCCAGGCTGGAGGGCAGCACGGGGAAAGCTCGCTGAGAAGGGCCCAGGAGACGCGCTTCCCAGCTCTGTTTCCACGACGATTCCTGAACACCTGAGGATTCCTCCCCAAAGCTAACAGAGCACCGCCCTCAGGCAGACCTAACCTGGGCCGAGCCCCAGGGAGCCGAGCTGCCCGGGGGCGTCGCTAAGGAAATGTGTGTGAGGGCCTCCGTATGCAGCAGTGTGATGGACTCGGAGGGCTGGTGCAGGGCCTGGCTCGGCCACAAACCCCTCAGGAGGCCTCGAGCCAGCCTGGCCTCCAGCCTCAGTTTCCCCTTCTGCACCACAGACTATTAGGCAAAGCAGGAGCCTTGCTGATGGTAACCTGTGCGCAGGGCTCTGTGGGACCCTGCTTCCTGCCCTCTGCCACCTTTGCCATTGCCGTCCCTTCTTTGTCCAGAAAACTGCCATCTGACCTTTGTGACCCTCAAATGTGACTCCTCCAAGAAGAGGCGCCGTGGCAAAAAGTCCCCATCCAAGGAGGTGACCCACATCACAGCGGAGTTCGAGGTGGAGACAAAGATGGAAGAGGCGTCAGGTGCGAGAGGCCGCGGAAGGCCTCAGGGAGGACAGGAGCCGGGGAGGGCCGGCAGGGGTGTGCCGGGCGTGAAGCTGGGCGACCACCTGAGCTACGGCTACTGGAGGTAGAGACCGGCCAGGCAGTGGGGGCGCCGGGGAGGGTAGGCGCTGGGTAGCCCGGGATGGAAGAGGAGGCCCGGGGCTCAGGGGCCCACAGTGACGGCCACACGGCCGCTCTCCACCCTTCATGCCCTCGCTGGGGCCTGGAAGGGCTCATGCCTATGGAGTTTCCGGAACAACTGAGCCAAGGGCCTATCTTTCTCAGGTGCCAGAAGGGGCCTATAATGCTGGCTTGAGTTTCATCAGTGCTTTCCTCTTGGCCGTAAATGAGTGCTGAGTTGTGACAGGGGAGTTGAGATCTGTCAGCAGATATGTGCTGTGTGTGCCCAGCTCCAGGCACTTTTGGAAAGGGGACCAGACCCAAGGTCCTCGTGCTGGCAGCACTCCCAGCCATGGGGACACAGACCCACATACAAACCACCCGGTGCTGAGGGAAACCCTAGGTGGTGGGGGCGTGAGAGCAAACAGGACCCAGAGCTGAGAGTCTCCCCAAGAGAGGGGCCCAGGAAGTCTTCCCAGAAGACTGATTTGAATCAGGACTTAAAATCAAAGTTCACCAAGTGGAGGAGGTTGGAGGAGGTGGCAGGGAATGGCATTCAGGCAGAGGGAAGGGAGTAGAGATCAGAGGGAATGGGGTGTGCTCAGGAGGCAGTGAGCAGGACAGGGTGGCTAGAAAGCAGAGTTCACAGTGGGTGTCGGAGGGCTGGGGCTGAGGCCTGGCAAGGCAGGCAGGGGCCCCACCACAAGGGGCCTTGGATCCAAGGCCAGAGAGCTGGGCATTGTCCTGGGAATAGTGGCAGCCTTGGGGGTGTTGAGTGGCAGGGAGGGTGCCTGTGCGTGAGCTGTGTCCTGGGGAGGTGATGCACTCCGCTGTGGCGGAAGCCCGGTTTCTCCTCCGATCTGCGGTGTGGCCTTGAGCAGGTCATACCTCTTGGACCCTCATTCTTCTCATCTGTCAGATGGACGCCACAGTGGTGCCTCGGCCCCCGGCTGCTGCACGAACATGCTGGGGGCCGAGGCCCGGCGGAGGGGGAGGCTCGGGGAAGAGGCCACTCCCAGGGGGTTGCGAGTCACCGTCCCTCCCGCCCCTGCAGACACCTGTGAGGCGGACTGCATGCGGAAGCGCGCCGAGCAGAGCCTGCAGGCCGCCATCAAGACTCTGCGGAAGTCCATCGGCCGGCAGCACTTCTCCATCCAGGTCGCAGGCACAGAGTACACGATGGCCCAGTGGCCGGCCAAGGCCCTGGAGGGCCAGGGGGCGTGCGTCACAGGCCAGGTGTTACAGGACGGGAAATGCGGTGCGTCCCTGCCTGTGGCCACTGGGATGCCCACGCGGCAAAGCTCTGCCCTTCCTTCCACGGGGGGCCTGGGTCAGCAGACACACTGGGAGGGGACAGCGAGACAGAAGCCTGCCAGAGAGAAGCAGTCCCGTGCTCATCGTTATGGCCGTCATTTGAAGAGCACTCCCCTGGTGCCAGGCTCTGGGCAAAGCATTTGCTGGGCAAACATTTGCACGCACGACCCTCACCACAATCCTGAGGACGGGTGGGACAGGGAGAGCGCAGGCCAGCATGGCCACAGCGGAGAGGCAGGAGGGGCACGGGGATTAGTCTGTGTGGCTAGAGAGGGCCTCCCAGCAGAGGGAGCGTGGGAGCTGAGGGCAGAGGAGGAGCCGAGCGAAGATGCACGCGAGGCTGAGGGCCACCCAGGCCTGCAGCACAGGCTGCCGGGAAGCAGGCGAGGCCGGGCCCACGGCAGGAGCTCGGGCAGGGCAGCCAGCCAGGGTCCAGGCCCGGGAGGCAGGGGACTTGACCAGAGCCCCAGGAGCTGGCCTGTTGAGAGGGGTTGGGTCTAGACACAGCTGCAGGAGAATGGACAGGGCCCTTGGTCTGCTGGGCTTCACGTTTCCCGGGGAAAGAAGGCAGCCAGTGAGCAAGCAAGCACACCCACAGGCCAGGGGAGGCAGCCGCCTTGCGGGCCTCGTGGGCGGAGGTGCTACTCTGGTGCCGTGGAAACCACAGGAAGGTTCCAAGCAGAGGAGCAACCTTACTGCTCTCTCATCAGGGGAAGGCTTCCGCGAGCGAGGACCAGGGAAGGGAGGCCAAGCGGGAGTCGGTGGAGCCTTGAACGGGGAGTGGGGGGCTGGCAGAAGGACAAGAAGGAACGAGACAGATTGAGAGAGCACTTTGGAGGGGCGGCTGGGAGGAAGGAGCCTTCGAGGGCAGCCCCCAAGGGCCACGGGGCAGAGGTGGCATCATTTTCTGATCTGGGGAACCTGGGGACGACGCAGCTGGTGGAGACGGAGTGTTCTGTCTGTACTCACTATCTCAGATGCACGTGAGTCATCCCTGTGCAGACGCTGAACGGTTAGGGTGGTTGGAGTCACAAATCTGGGGCACAAAGCATAAGCTGGGCCAGAGAGATAAACTGGGGATCCCCTGAGAAGAGGTGGGACTTAGGGGTGTAGCAGGAAGGGAGGACTCTGGCTCGAGCAATGGAGTGAGCATGGCAGGAAGGCAGGGGCCTTCGTGATGTCATTCTTTTCTTTTTTCAAAAGATTTTATTTATTTGAGAGAGAGCACACACGAGGAGGGGGAGGGGCAGAGGGAGAAGCAGGTTCCCCACTGAGCAAGGAGCCCGATGCAGGACTCGATCCCGGGACCCCGGGATCACGACCTGAGCGGAAGGCAGACACTTTGAGCCACCCAGGCTCCCCCTTCTTCTATTTTCAATAGCTTATTCTGAAATCATTTAAAACATTCGGAAATATGGCCAGGCAGAACAAGGAACTTCCATGGTTTCTTCATCCAGGCGCCCCCGTGCGCTGCCTCGAGCACGTCCAGCCCACGCGGTCCATCCCAGTTCCCCCACTCTTCCCGCAGCGTCCCTGTCCTGCACGTTCAGTGTCCTGTCTCTCCTTCCTTCAGTGTGGAGCAGTCCCTCGCTCTTTCCCTGCCTCTCCTGTCCTCCTGCTGTAGGATGACCCTCATGGGGCTGCATCCCACGTTTCAGTGACGGTCTCAGCAGGAAACCACGCTGGCCGCCTGCTCTTCAGCGCCCCTGTCAGGAGGCACAGGACGCTGACCCAGGCCACCCCTGGTTCCTCCACCTCCCTTTTCCTTCTGCAATTGAGGAGGATTTGCTGGGGATGTAATTCTGAGTTTATACCAACATCTCCCCATCAGACATCCTCCCCCCCCAGCAGCACTCAGGGACAACTCCCACCAAAGCAGACACATCTCCCATGGTTGCGGGACGGTATCCTCTATTCCTGCCAGCCCTGGTCCGTGTGTATTAGTTAGCATTCTCCTGTCAGGAAGCTTTCCCTTCCCCCTCGCTTACGGATGCCACTGTGCATCCACATGTCCGTGTGGACTGAGACTCCTCTGTTCTTCACTGGGTTGTCATCCAAGCCTAGGATCACTTAGTTCAGTGCTCAGATCATCCCCAGTGTAGCCAGTAAAGTTCCCCTGTCCTTTGGACACACCCCACACCCCCATCACTCACTGAGGATTCTTGGGCACCAAACCTGTACTTTCCCTGCCCCAGCCTTCGCAATCAGTCAGGAACCCCTGGACCCCTAGAGGAGGAAGATATGCAGAAGCCAAAGCTGGGGTCCTCATTGCTACTGGGGTGTCCTTGCTTCCAGGCTCTCTCACTGGACAGACCTAGAAAGTATGGGTGTATATCATACATGGGTGTATATATATATTTCCATAGGTATAGATGGGTACATAGAGGTGTGTGTGTGCGTGTGTGTGTGTTTTGATTGAAAACCATGCATTCACACCAATCCCTCCAATTCAATAGCTCAGGGTTCTTTCTAACCTCCCCTCTTTCCATGTTTCTAAATTTGTTCTCCAGAGAAACATGCGGCTCCCTCTCTCCTCATTTCCTCGGTCAGTCTTCTTACTCATCAGTTTGCTCTATGCAGCCGACCACACCAGCTCTGGACAACCCTCAGCCACCAGGCCTCCCTGCCCCCACCTCTGTCACTCCCCCCCCCCGCCTTCTGCACCACCCCCATGTCCCCAGATGGCCACTCCACCCCACGGGGAAGGAAAGGGGAGGGTAGGAGAGCTGGGTTTGGACAAAATACCTATAGGACGGCCAGGAAACGGTTGGTGCGCAGGCCGAGGGCAGGATGCAGAGCAGAGAGAGAACTAAGGGCTGAGCAGGAATGACCAGCACGGGGCAGGAGACCAGGGTCAGGCCTCCGGGCTCTTCACAGATGGCTGGTGTCTTGTTCCTACCCCCAACTCTCCTTTGAGCCACAGGGACGAGGGATGTGCTCTATCTGGGAGGACGGAGGCTGGGTTTGAGGTACCAGGAGACAGACCACCCGGGCACCACTCCCCACCCCTGCCACCGGCAATCTCTCCACTTTGCCTCTGCAGTGGCCTGCGGGCCTGGCACCTACTTCAGCGGAGAGCCTGGCCAGTGTGTGCCATGCGCGCCGGGGTCCTACCAGGACGGGGACGGCCAACTCAGCTGCACGCCATGCCCCAGCAGCGACGGGCTCGGCCTGGCTGGTGCCCGCAATGTATCCGAATGTGGAGGCGAGTGCAGGTCCCCCCTGGAGGGCGGGGCTGGGGGTTGCGGTGGGGGGAGGGCCCGGGGGCACCTCCTGTCTCTACTGAGGTCCCCAAAGCAAAGGCCCGGTCCCTGGTGATACTCTGTAAAGCTCTCTGCAGTGTGCAGAGTTGGCATGACTTTAGGCTGCTGCGCTCACAGAGGGCACTGGTGCCCCGGAGGATCTGTGTGTCAGCAAGCACTGGGCTGTGCCTAGTGCACCTGCGGACAGCAGCATGCAGTTTGGAAAGGACTTTACAGTTTATAAACACTTGGTCATTTACGGGTAACTCACTGTCTATAACGGAGGTACGTAGTGCTTTACGGTTGACCACCCGTGCTACGTGGCATGGAGCACCGCATCATCACCGAAAGGCTTTATGGAGGGTCCCATATACTCGGCAAGAACTGTTCTCTACATGAAGAACTTTACAGTTTGCCCTATAGATGGTTTGGAAAGCCCTTTTTCAGTTTACCAAGCGCAACTTGGTTTGCAAAGAGCTTTTCCATTCCCTACCTCACTTAACCACACCTGTGATACAGGCTCATACCCCCACCCATCAGCCTCCCTTCTCCGGCCCTCATGGGACCACCCAGGACAATGGGTGGGAAAGGGTGCCTGCGAGGGTGGGTGGGTAGGATCCTCACGGCAGTGGAGACCACCAGCCAGCCTTCTCTGGGGTACAGAAGAGATCAGAGCCCAGCCCTGAGTCCCTGCAGGCTAGCTGGCTGTGCCCTCCAAGAGTGTGGTCTCTGCCCTTGGGCTGGTGACTGAGCAGAGAGCAGCCACTGGTGGGAGCAGAGAATTCAGGGTCTGGGCCGAGAGGGCCCTCAACCCACCCCTCACTCACTGCCAAAGCAGCCTCTGCATCCCAACTTAATGCTGGGTGTGCTGTCCCCTCCCTTTTTCCCAGCCAGGCCCTCAAGGACCTCACAGACTCCCCTCCCTCTGCCCTGGCCCAGCCCTGCAGAGAGACAAGGCCGGTCAGCCTGGACCCCACTTCCTCATGTGGAAGGCACAGTGTGGCCTGCCCCCTGGGGGGACCCGCTTCAACCTCTCCCCTCCACAAGCGAGGTCCACACTTCCCAGCTCAACAGCAAAGCCCCTTGCTCTTCAACCCATAGCCCTTCTTGCTAGTGGGAGAGGTGAAGCCACGCCTGGCCAAGGCCCCCTAGTGCATGAGCCCTTGGCAGCATCTGGACGGGGGGTGGCCTTGTGCAGCCCAGGCCCCTTCCCCCCAAGTCCCCCCTCCCCCCCAGCACCACCCCCAGCCATGGTGCCCTTCCCCAGGGCAGGTGAGGGTTGAGAGCAGGGTCTGGACCAAGGCGCCCCGCCCCCCTCCACCAGCCTGAGCCATGACCTCTGACTTCCAGGCCAGTGTTCCCCAGGCTTCTTCTCCCCGGATGGCTTCAGGCCCTGCCAGGCCTGCCCAGTGGGCACATACCAGCCTGAGCCTGGGCGCACAGGGTGCTTCCCCTGCGGAGGGGGGCTGCTCACCAAGCAGGAGGGCACAGTCTCCTTCCAAGACTGCGAGGCCAAAGGTGAGTCTGCAGGGCTGTGCAGGGACGTTTTCCCTCAACACCTCTCATTTCCTGTGTGGCAGATCTCCAAGGGCAGAGGGGCACCCCGGAGCTGCCGACAGTGGACATGGTGACCAGCACCGTGCCACACGCCAGGACAGGGACAGCGGGGTTCCACACAAGCCCACCCGAGGGTCTTAGATGGGAGAGCCAGGCAGGCACAGTGGTTACAGATGGGAGCTTTGAGCCTGACTCACAGGAAAGTTTTGGGGGGATGGGGGGGTGAAGACATGCAGGGGTGGCAGGGGCAGTGGGGCGAGGTCAGACGTCTCACCTTACCTGGAGACCCTCCCTTCAGGGCCGTGGGGGTCCTGCTATCTAGCCGCACCTTCCCCTCCATGGTCACCGAATCCCCCCTGAGAAGCCTGCCTCCTGCCCTGCCAAGGGCCTCTTCCCACCTGCTGACCCTGATATTCTTGGGAACAGACAGAATCCTCCCTTCTAGAAGAGAAAACTCCATCTGCCCTCCAGTTCCTGCCAGGATTTCTCCTCCTTACTATGAAACTTGTAGAAAGAGTGTCTGGACTCCCCTTCCTCTCCCCTCACCCTCTCCCAAACCCCACTGGTCAGACTCTCACCCCACGGCCGCCCATCATTGCTCCCATCAGAGCCAAATCAGTTCCCAGCTGGCATCTCCCACAGCCCCGTGTCCCCAGGCCCCACTCAGTCTCACCCACCCACCCCTCACCTGGTAGTGCTGGGGTCCCCGGCCTGGGCACTCACTCTGGAACCTGGAAAGAAAGAGCATCCAGTGACCCCACTTTCTGTCCCCAACCCCGCCTCTGTCCTGAACAAGATGCTACACCCTCCTGCCAGGGGACAGCACCGGTCATATCTAGCAACCCACCTGTCACTCCACGTGGCCAGAGCCCCTCATCTTTGCCACAAAGTGCCCCCCGCCCCGGCTCACACCAGCTCTGTCCTGCCAGGTGTCCAAGGAGACCTTGGAGTGCCCCCGAGTGCTCTCTCTCTGACCTCACATCCAGTCTGTCCACAGCCCCAGCCAGCAGCTCTGAGCGATGAGCTCTCAGCGCCCCACTCCTGCCCCCCGAGCCAGGCCACTGCTACCTGTCCCCCCACCCGCCCCCTCCCCAGAGCATGAGACAGGACCATGCAGTGGCTCCAGATGCCCTCCTCCCTCAGCGCAAAGCCTAGCATGACCCCCTGGCCCCAGGAGCCCATTCCCGTGGCCTGTGGCCTCCCCTCTGGCCACACCCGGCATGCGCAGCCCACGCCGGGCCAGCTCGGCCACTCCCTCCGCCCAGATGGCTTCCCAGCCAGCTCCACACTGCTCAAGCCTCCACCCAAGATCCCTGCGCCCCTTGAGCAGCCCATGCCTGGCCTTACAACATCTCATGCCCCATTTATTGCCCCCGAACACACACACCTCAGGGCGGGCCTTGGTCTGCGGAGCTCACTGCCCAGCTCCCGGCGGCCCACCACGCTCCGCACCTCTGTGGACGAGGCCAGGACTGGGTGCGGGTGATGGGAGGCCACTGGGTGGTAAAGAAGGGCCTTGACCTTGGCACCAAGACAGACCTCGAGGGCAGGGAGGTGCCAGGGAGGATGCCCCCTGCCCTTTCCCACCTGCCCCCCACCCCGGCCCACAGTGCACTGCTCCCCGGGCCACCACTACGATACCAGGACACACCGGTGTATCCGCTGCCCGGTGGGCACCTACCAGCCCGAGTTTGGCCAGAACCACTGCATCACCTGCCCGGGCAACACCAGCACGGACTTCGATGGCTCCACCAACGTCACACACTGCAAAAGTAGGTGCAGCTCTCCCCACGGCCAGGGCGCTGGGCTGCGGGGCGGGGTGAGCCCGCACCCCACGTGGTGTCCGCAGGACCCCGGGGACCCCGCCCGGTCTAGCACATCCGCACGTCTGCTCAGGGTGATGCCCGCACCCCTGTGCTCGGCGGGCCCTGCTCGAGGCGCCGGGTCTGTGGAGGGCAAAGCCAGGCCGCGCCGGGGGGCCTGCGGGGCAGCGGCTGAGGGCCCGGCCGTGCTGCTCGGAAGGCACGCGTGGCTGGGCTGCCAAGTGGACGCAAACCAGCCCAGGGGACAGGAAGCAAGCGCCAGGTGTGGACGGGTGTGGCGGCGCCAGAGGAAGACCAGAGGCGGCCTCCTGTCTGTGAGAAGCTCAGTTTAGCCAAAAGAAATGTGGGCAGCATAAGACGATTTGGGAAATAGATAGCCCAGGCCATCACTTAGCAAGTCATTTGGGCATAACAGACTTTGGATATTTTTAATTCATTTTTCGGAGTCCTCTGGGACAGATTTTCTGGTATTGTACCCTTCCCCAAATCAATTTCTAGCCAGTTACCCCTTTCCTGGGCTGCTGGTCATGTCTAGGACAGCCCAAAGGGCCAGGAAGAGGACTTAATCCTAGAGGTGGGAGCTGCCCATTTCCCCGGGGCGTCCCCTGGGGCTCGTGGCCTCTGGGGACAGAAGAGCAGGCACAGTGGTGGGGCTCCACAGAGACAGGGTTTTAAACGTCCTCGTGAATAAAAGTGGAGAAAGCAAATAGGAGGGAAGCTTCTGGAAGGTAAGGTAAACATGAAATGTTTCCCAGAAATTTTGATGTGAAGTGTTTTATAAATGAAACGGTATAAGAAAATTCTGTATATTTAGTATTTCTGTTCAGTTCTCTTTGCAGACCTAAGGTGTAAGGGTGAGGCTAGGAGCATTTAGCTCATAAAGATGTCGCATTTGGCCTCTTGAGGATTACGCAGCTTAGCTACAAAAGGAAAGAAAGGGAAGCATGTCTCTTTTTCCTCACTGTGCTGCCTGCTTGTCCCCCAGCCTTCCTGCTCGGTGGGGAGGGCGACCACACCGGGCACCTGGCGGACACTGAGCGTGGAGTGCGTGGAGGGAAAGAGGGGGTGGGGGTTCACTGGGCTTTTATGTGGGCCACCTGCAGGAGCAGGGCTGGCAGGGGAGCTGACACCGGGTGGGCCTGCCCCAGGGCGCCCCCCCCCCCCCAGGAAGACCACCCTGGGAGAAGAGCGGCCCAGGGCCGAGCTGGCTGGGGGGGACCCTGGGTGGAGGTGGGCCGCGGGGCCGTCGAGGGCCTGCCCTCCACGTCCCCCGTGCAGCCGGCCTGAACAGGCCCGTGGGGCCCCGGTGCCCACAGACCAGCACTGCGGCGGCGAGCTCGGCGACTACACAGGCTACATCGAGTCCCCCAACTACCCCGGCGACTATCCGGCCAACGCCGAGTGCGTGTGGCACATCTCACCGCCCCCCAAGCGCAGGATCCTCATTGTGGTCCCCGAGATCTTCCTGCCCGTTGAGGATGAGTGCGGCGACGTCCTGGTCATGAGGAAGAGCGGTATGCACAGGTCGAGGCGGGGCAGCAGAGGGGCCGCCCAGGGTCACCCGTGGGGCGGGTTCGCAGCCCACCTCTGTCTGACCCAAAGGGCTCCGTGCCAGGGTGTGGCGAGTGGGGGGTGCACCCTGAGCGTGGGAGCCAGGGCCGGTCCGGTCTGGTCTCCACGCTGACCACAAGCTAGTCTCATCCCAGGGGTCCTGCCTGTCCTGCCATGCCACCGAGGGTGAGGCCCCAGGAGCGTCCACTGCTCCGCCCACCTCCTGCTACCTCTGAGGCTCGGGGGCACACACACAAGATGCCTCAGGGTCAGACAGCCCATCCCTTCCCCTCTGGGAGTTCCAGCCTCCTGGCCCATCACCCCTGTCAAGGGGCCAAGAGCAGTGGGCCGGCCCTCAGTAGTGGGTGAGGACAAGTGTGTGCCCAGATGGCCACAGCATCGAGAAAGGTGGGGAAGCCCCTGAGCCCCCCAGGAACCAGATTGAGTCCCTAATAGCATGTGCGCAGGCCAGGACCCCTCACGGCTGCTGTCATGTCACAGTGCCCCCAGGGAGCACACCCCAAGTTGGAACGTCAGGGAAGGAGGAGGCAGACGCAGGCAGACACAGAACACTCCTGCCCACTTGGGTCTGGAATGTGTATGAGGAACAGAGACTAAGCAGAGAGATTGAGGGAGTTTCTGTCCACTCTGTTCCCCTGGTTCTTTGTTACCATATGCGAGCGTCGCCCACTCTGTGTCGCTGATAAGCCAGGAAGTCTGAGGCCAGAAAGGGCAGGGAGCCTGCCCAGGATGCCACAGCCGGTCAGAGCCCAGCCCGGGACCATCTTCCCCGCCTCCTCTGTCACCAGCCTCCCTAGTCCCCAACATCCTCCCTTCCACTGTCTGCCCACAGGGTTGAACTCTAGGGGGTCAGCTTCTCCCACCTCCAGGGCATCTCAGGAAGGCTCCCCAGGGAGCAGTGAGGAGGTGGGGCACCCTTTGGACAGCCCCACGCACCCCAGGGTCAGCACGCTCACCCCTGTTCATCTGCTCATAGGGAGAGGGGACTTCCCAAATGGGGCCCCCCACCCCAGGCCTGACTTGTGCTGGGTGGGGCCATGAGCCCTATCCTGGAGGAGCAGTTGGTGCAGAAAGACAGTGACAACCCAACAGAGGGGCAGCGACAAAGGGTTCACCAGGGTAGGGCAGGAACATGGTAGTGCGAGGACGGAGCAGTCGGGGAGGCTTCCTGGAGGAGACACAGAAACCTGCTCTGCAGGATGAGTAGGAACTGGGGTTGAAGGTGGGGACTGGCATTTGGGGCAGAGGGAGCACAGGCAGAGACCAGAGCTGGACTGTTTGGGGGACTGGGCGTGGGAGCTGGGTGGCTGACCAGGTGGGGGAAGCACGCGGCCTGAGGAAGGAGGACGGGGCCAGGTGCAGGGATGTGGGTCAGCCAGCCGCTCAGCCCCCCTGCTCTGTCCCCAGCATCACCCGCATCTATCACCACCTATGAGACCTGCCAGACCTACGAGAGGCCCATCGCCTTCACCTCCCGCTCCCGGAAGCTCTGGATCCAGTTCAAGTCCAACGAAGGCAACAGCGGCAGAGGGTTCCAAGTGCCCTACGTGACCTATGACGGTCAGTGTGGCCGCACTGTGTCTGGCCCTGCAGACCCAGAGGCAACGAGCACGCACGGGGTGGGGGGGGTGCAGACGAGGGAGCCATGAGTGGTGTCTGTGGCCTTCAGCGTGACGTACTGCCCAAGCAGGGTTTTGAGGGTTGACTAGGAGTTCCTAGCGGGCCAAAACTTGAGGTCAACTTGGGTGGAGGATACAGAGGTTTGGAGGCAGAACTGCCTCTGGCCAAGGTCTGAAGTCTGAATGTGGAGCAGGGGAAGGCAGAGGCTGAAGGTGAGGGGGAAGCAGACAGGGTCTGGCACCTTCACCTTCCTTCCTTCCCTGCTGGTGGGTTTCACAGAGGACTACCAGCAGTTGATAGAAGATATCGTTCGCGATGGACGGCTCTACGCCTCGGAGAATCACCAGGAAATTTTAAAAGTGAGTGAGCTTCTTTATGGCAAAGGGTCCATGTGATCCCAGGATGGTGGCCTGTGATGATCCAGGGCATCTGTCCTTGCAGACCAGGAGGGCCGAGACAAGCTCCCTGGTGGAGTCTAGCCCAGGACCTGGTGACTGGTCTTTGGGCTCCTCACCAGCTGCCAGCCTCACTTCCCTCATCTGTGAAACACGGTGGGAGCTTAAAATCAGTAGAATCCGCCCCCATCTTTGGGACTGCCTGCCTCGTCATCTTGCTCGTGGCCTTAAGAAGCAGAGCCACCTTGTCATCGAGGGGCGCTGTGTCTGTCACGCAGCAGGCACTGGCCAGCTCAGGGCCCCAACCCAGGGATTTGCTCGGGCTCTGGGGGTCTGGCCGTGGCTCAGCATCTGGGAAGATAGCACTCCCAGCCTGGGAGCTGAGGTGGGCGGGGCTAGAGCAGGGTTGGGGCCCCTGGCTGTCATGTCCCAGCTGGGTGGCCCTGGGCAAGCCCTCTGAGAAACCAGGCGTGGCTCGCCGAGTGTGGGTCTTCCAGCCCCGGGGCTGGCACAGTCCTCCACACAGTAGGCAGTTTGTAAGCAGAGAGGTTCCCCCCAATGCTGCTGCACCCAGGAGCAGAGCTAGAGGTTCTAGAGCCCGTCTGTGTAGTGGGAACCGGAGGGTCGTGCTGGCCTCTCCATCAGTCCATCCTGCAGACAATGCCGGCTCTCCTCCTCGCCCCAACCCTGCCGCCCTGGCCCTCTGCCCACGGCTCCACCCTGCAGCCAGGAGCATCTTTGCAGAACTAGAAATGTTTCCATCACTTAGGACAAAAATCTTGGCCCTCGAGGCCTGGCCGGGGATGGCCCGCACCTGCCTCTGAAGCTGTTCTGCTTCTCTCCCTCGCCCTCTGCCCCCTCCCGATCATGTGGGCTCTCTCTAAAATATATAAATAAATCTTTTTTTTTTTTTTTGAAGTCAAAGGGCGCCTGGGTGGCACAGTCGGTTAAGCGACTGCCTTCTGCTCAGGTCATGATCCCAGGGTCCTGGGATCGAGCCCCGCATCGGGCTCCCTGCTCAGTGGAGAGTCTGCTTCTCCCTCTCCCTCTGCCTGCCACTCCCCCTGCTTGTGCTCTCTCTCTCTGTCAAATAAATAAGTAAAATCTTAAAAAAATAAAAAATAAAAAAACAGGGCGCCTGGGTGCTCAGTCGGTTAAGCGTATGCCTTCGGCTCAGGTCACGATCCCAGGGTCCTGGGATCGAGCCCCGCATCGGGCTCCGTGCTCCACCGGGAGCCCGCTTCTCCCTCTCCCTCTGCCTGCCGCTCCCCCTGCTTGTGCTCTCTCTCTCTCTGCCAAATAAATAAATAAAATCTTTAAAAAAAAATCAAAAAACAATTCATGGGGAAGAGAGTCTGTGGGGTCCTCCTCCCCCTTCCTTGCAGACACCCCACAGGCCCCTCCAGGGCCCCAGACATTGAGGAGGCCCGCAGCCCCGGCCCCCCACCCGGCCTCACCACCCGCCTCACCATGTCTTGCAGGACAAGAAACTCATCAAGGCCCTCTTCGATGTGTTGGCGCATCCCCAGAACTACTTCAAGTACACAGCCCAGGAGTCCAAGGAGATGTTCCCGCGGTCCTTCATCAAACTGCTGCGCTCCAAAGTGTCCCGATTCCTGCGGCCCTACAAATAATGCCCTGCTCGGGGATGGGGGTGTCCCGACGGGGAGGGGAGAGTGCCTTCCCTCCACAGGAGAGGCTAGAAGGCGGCTCCGCGGGCCTCCACACTCCGCCTTGGGAAGCCACCACGGCGTCTGCCCTTCGGAAACACGGACCGGCCCGTGGGGGTGAGACCACGTCCAGGCCGAGACCCCGGCCCGCCGCACTCCTCGGATGGCCCCACGGGGACAACACCGCGGCTTTTCTCCCTCGCTCCCTCTGCCTGTTCGATTCCAGGACAGCAGCCTCTCCTGAGCGGCACTAGAGGACCCGCCCGGGGCCGGGACACCCTGTGCGCAGCCAGGTCCTGGGCAGAGAGCACATTTGGGGAGGTGGCACGTGGCCTCACCTGACGCCTCGGGGGGTGGGGGCGTGGCTGCCTCTGCCCCCAGGCAAGCTCTGGGAGGCATCATCTGAGACAGGAAGCCCGGCTGCGGGAGGAGGGGTGTGGGAAGGCGTCTGGGAGCTTTGATAAGCCAGTGTCTGCACCTGCAAGGCATCCGCACCCCACCCCCCCTCCGGCCACGGGCCCGGGACGCAGGCGCCACGTGGTGAGGCTCTAAGGATTCTGTGATGGGACAGAAAAGAGCTGGTAGCGGAGGAAACTGTAGATTTGTGCTTTCCTTTGATAGAGCATCTAATTAAGTACTATATATATATATAACTATAAATATAAATATAATATACTTCTATTTGTGGGTACTTTAGGAAAATCCTCTTTAGTAACTATAAATATGAAATGCAACCCCACCTCTTCCCTCACAGGCTGTTGCCAGCATCCCTGAGTGATTAACCACCCCGCCAGGTGCTTGCCACCGGTTTATGTGGGGCCGGGAGCCTGCAGGATGGGGAGAAGGCAGGCTGGTTCTGGACACACTCTGGAATACATATTTTTGGGGAACTAGGCTCCGATGCTTTGCTGGAATGTTGCCCTCAGATACAATATGGTAGAAGGCAGTTTCCCCTTGGGCCCTTTCCTGTGGGTACAGGAGCCCAGCAGTAAACCTTGAAAGGGGCCTGTGCTGACCCTGAGGCCATGACCTTGGGGTCTGTGCCGTGGCCTCATGCCACAGGAAACAAGGCCTTGCCCACGTGAGCACAGGCTGTGCCACCGCGAGAGGCCTCAGAGGGCAGGTGGCCAGCATCCGAGGCCGGGCCCCGAGAGGGCTGTCTTCTTTCTGCCGCGCCACACTGCGCCCCTCGGAGAGTCTGTCTTTAAAGAAGAGAAGTCCAGAGTCTGACCCGGTTGCATGGTGTCCCCCTCAGCCAGGAAGCCTGCCCCGGGATAGAGCCAGAAAAGTTCCCGCGGCGCTGAGGCCTCGACTGCCGGCCGACTGCCAAAGAGACATGCGTAGGAAGCGGTCTGTATCTTTAGGGTTAACAAATGTTCACAATTCCAAGAAACGTGGGAGAATCTTAAAATGAAGCCCAGCCACCCGTCCCAGGTGCCCCTAGGCTGTGTCCTCCTCGTGCCCCCACGGACCCACGCTGAGCGAAGGGCACAGTTTGAGACCCGTCCATGGCACGCTGCGGATGGTGAAGCCTGGGGCCGGGCGAGTGGGGTCTGGGGGTCGATGACAAGGCAGGCCGGGACAGTTTCACAATCCAGAACAGGGCTGGGAGCTCAGAAATCGTTCCCTGCCGCCGCCCACGTCAGCAACGGCAAGTCCCCAGTTTGACAAACGCTCTGCCGCCAGCGCCTTTTCTGCCAACATCCAACTCAGGTCGGGAAGGGGCCTGGTGGGCAGATCAGTGTGAGCCCTGAGCCCTGTCTGGGCCCACACCACCCTCCCCCGCTCACGGGCCGTGAAGGCCAGCCTCGGTCTCCAGCAAGACGCCTGTCTTCCCTCCCAAGCCATTGCGCATCCCCAGAAATTAGACGAGTGTCCTCCAGAACGGCCCCGAACAGCAACCACCCAGGCGAGGGGACAGGGAGGGGCTTTTTAATAATGTTCTCAAAACAGGACCAGAAGGGCTCTAACCTTTCTTGAATGCTTCCTGCTGCCCCTCTGGGTGGTTTCGGGCAGTCGCCACCCACAAACCGCCCTAAAACACGGGCCTTTCCAGTGGGAGCCCACCCATGTCCCGTGGCTCTCCCCACCACTGTGGTCAGACGGGCCCGGTGTTCCCCCAACAGAGCAGGACAGATGTGGGGCCCCTTGCCCTCACAAGTACCAGGAAGCCACCCCAATTTGCCAGCTGCCGGCACATCGCCATCAGCACCCCCCACCACCAGGGGCACTCAGTCCAGGATGGGGTTTGTCCTTCATCTCGATGTCAGCCCTGAGCCCCACCCTGGGGAACTTGAGGGTCCCACTGTTAAAGCCAGCGCTGTCCCCGGTCGTCGGAGCCTGGTGGCCATGGGAGAGCTTCCTGGGCAACAAAGCACATTTGTCCATGTTCCCGTGTTGTGGAAGCTGGTGGCAGGGCTCGAGATGTGGAGGGGCTGAGCCAGAAGGAGCACACCCCCCTCGTGGATGGGACATTGGCCTTGAGCAGCCCCAGCCCAGCCACCGTCGCCCCTCGCCTGGCACGGACCCTCGGCTGCTGGCCAGTCAATAAACTCCAAGGAAGAGAGCTAAGGAAGAGGCTTCTGGAAGCAAAAGCTTGCCCAGTCGGCCGGGACTGAAAGGGGCCAAGGCCTGGAAGTCCTGAGGAGCTTGGCTCTGCTCCTCGTGGGGTGGCCGGGGACGCTCTCGGAGGATGGCAGTGGAAGACCGAGGGGCGCCCCCCCGCACCAGGTGCCCGATGACGGCGGTCAGGTGGGACCCAGGAGTGGCGGACCTGGAAGAAGCCCTCTGCCCCACACCCCCTGGCGTCTCCCGGCTCTCTGCTTCCATGGAAACATGCGGAGGAAAAGAAGAGACTCTGCCTCGGGCCCAGTGGCCAGCTGGGCCCTCAGCGAGTGAGTGCTGGGGTCACCTCATCTGCCTCCGAATTAGGCTATTTTCCCAGCTACGCTCTTGCCTGAGCCAGGGCCTTGCAGCCGTGGTGTTGTGCTGGCCTCTCCCCCCGCCCCGGGCTCTCCACGTAGTCTCAACTCGCCCCAGCAGGTGGCCTGGGCCAGTGGTGGTGACCTCGCTCTGCCCAGCTCTAGCTCCCCAGGGGCAGTCTTTGCCAGTCCCTCCTCACCTCTGTGGCGACAGAATCAAGGGCCGTGGGGCCCAAGGTGGCGGCCTCAGACAGCTTTCCCTTCTGCCGTCCGTTGGTTTGGGACATGCAGATGAAGTAGAACCGTAACCTGGGCCAGAAAGTCACCAGAGACAGATGGCCCCAAGAGGCTGCTTCTGAGAGCCCAAAGACAGAACTTCTTTCCCTCAACCTCTTAAAACCATGTTTCCTACCAGAACATTCATTCCCCGGGGGACACGGCCAAGATCAGCCATTTTCCACGACAATAGGCCCCAGCCTGCTGGAGCTAGAGTGGGGGTCTGAGTGACATTTGGGGGGTTGGATAATTATGCAAAGGTCTCCACCCACCACCCTCAGCAGGAAAATAAGATACTGAGCTAAGGTAGGTCATTTAGCAAACATTTGCTGAGCGCTTACTGTGTGCCAGGCTCCTAGGAAGGAGGAGAGACCACAGCCATGGGGCTGGCAGAATCCCCGGCAAAGTCCCTCTTGGTCTCAGAGATAAAGGAGATTGAGGCTGGCCTGGGGGTGGACAGAGCCCAGTGCTCCTCCGGAGAAGGCACTCCGTCCTTCCAGCGCCTCCCAGCGCCCCGGGTGGGGATGGAGGGCCTCGACAGAGGGCAGAGCCGAGCAGGGGTCGCCAGAGGCATCCCGAAGTCCATCTCCCAAAGGAGGAACTGCCGCCCGCCCGGCCTCACCATGTGGCCGCCCTCCCCCCAAACCCCGGCAGAGAGCGACGCGGAGAAGAGCGCAGCCACCATGCCCAGGACAGCAACCTCCACCCCGCGCAAGACGCCCCTGTCTTCGCCACGGATCCACATGGTGGCCACTCAGCCCTTCTGACCAGGGTGACAGCGCCGACCTCATTCAGGCCAGTGGCAGAAGGACCGGCGTTTGAGAGACACTACCCGTCCACACGGAGAGTCGAAGCAGCCAGCTCCTTTCCTCCCGTGGCTGCCTCTGGAGGCGCTAGTTCTGAGCACCTGCTGTATGCCAGACAGAGGTGTGGCGCGGAGCTGGAGTCAGCCGTGTCCAGCTGGCTTCTTGGAGAGGGCAGCGGGGGGGGCAGGCCAGCCCCAGGCCCAGACGCCGGAAGCGTGGCCACGGGTTCCCTCCCAGCACCCTGCACAGATGGCCCCCAAAGAGTAGGACCCTCTGTTTCTCTGAGGCCCCAGATGGGCCCCTCGAGACTCAAGAGGAAGCAGTGAAAGGCCTGAGTCCCCCAGTCGCCAGGCTCTGGGGGGCAATCCTCAGGGCCCTGCGAGGCAGGTGGGGCCTGATGCTCCTCGGACGCAGAGGGCGAGACTCTAGGAGGCCCAGTGACATGCCCCCAGCGAATAGCTAGTAGTTGGTGGAACGGAGACTCAAACCCAAGTCCATCGAAACCCAGGGTAGGAGATGTCTGTGGGATGGTGACAACTGAATTGCACGGATTGGGAATGCGCTGGGGAGCTCCGAGGCAGGGATGTGGCAGGTAGGGAGGACGGAGGTGGAGGAGTGTGGACGTAGTGACCTCCCCTCCCTCTGGAACAAGCACTAAAGTCAGAGGAAGGCCGGCTTCTGCCTTCTCCCCTGCGTGGACAGGATGGAAGTGTCCGTTCAGACTCGGGCCCGCAGGCCAAGCACGGTCCTGCGCACCCCCAGAGAGATGCTGTGCGCCCCCCGTCGTCCCCTCTCCCAGGCTCCGGCACGCAAACATGAGACAACGCGGGTGTCCCTCGGCAGACCGTGGGCTGAAAAGTAGGGGCACAAAGAGAGCTCACTGGTGCCCAGGACTTTGTTTTCCAGCTCAGAGAACATGTAGATCCCAAGAAAGGTGTTAGTCCACTGAGATCAGAACCTTGAACAGCCTGAGCAGAGCCAGTCTGTACCGCTCTTGAAATGGGATATCTGAACACCGCTGGGAGGCCTGGGGGGGGGAGGGGGCCAGGGGAGGCAGGGAGGGGAGCAGAGCGCTGGGCCCTTGTTCCCCCAGCCTCCGCTTTGGGTTCTGTGAAGGCGCTGTACTGTCCAGGCACTCTGGCAACCCTTCTGTCCACAAGGGTGACAGATATCGGCGCAATCATGTTTTTATTTTGGTTGCCTCGAATATTCAAGGTTTTGTCTTCTCCCTCCTGTTCATACATATGCATGTAATTAAATGTTTGTGGAAATTACTTTAATAATAAACAGGAAACGAACCTAAATGTTGCTCCTTTCTCGCATTCATCGGAGGTCATGATCTGGGGGAGGAAAGGGGGAAGAAAGAACTAGAATCAGAAAAAAAAATATTTTCAAACATTCCTTGGCTATAATTGAGGGCTACAAGTAAAGGAGCTACGGTAAGCTTCTGGAAGGCAAAGCAGTAGGTTTGAGATCCGCATGATCCACATGTGAAAAGCGCCCAAAGGTAGGGGACGGACGTGTTCCTGGATGAGCTACAGGGAGGTAGAACATCTGAGGCTGCAAGTCCACCCCTCCTCATGCCTGGCCGCGGGAAACGAGAGATGCTCCTCTCTGCTGTGGCTTTCACCTTGAAGTCAAGGCCACCATGAGCCCCGGGGGATCTGGATGCACAGTCAGTGCAAGCACATGCCAATTCTCTGGGAATACGACCCATGGCTTTCATCAGATTCTCAAAGAAACCCCAAACGCCAAAAACGCTGATAACCATTCCTCTCCTCAACAATGCTGAGAAGCCTCTGGCATCATGCACTCGACAGGAGAAAAAACGATTTCATAAATGATACTAATATTCCAAGTGAGTGACAGTAAACGGCAGAGTTGTTTGGCTTGTTTGTTTGATTTTTTGGTTTAACCCAATGATTTAAAAGTCTAAGGAAATTTCTGGAATATACCCAAAAGAACAGAAAGCCGGGTCTCGAAAATATATTTGTACACCCATGTTCATAGCATTACTCACAATAGTCAAAAGATGGAAGCAACCCAAGTGTCCGTCAGTGGATGAGTGGATAAACACCATGGTCCCTCCACACCACGAATAGGATTCGGCCCTAAAAAGCAAAGAAGGTCGGACACCAGCTACAATGTGGATAAACCTGGAGGACATGGTGCTGAGTGCGAAATGTCAGGTCAAAACAGCAGGTACTGTGTGATTCCACCTACGCAAGGTCCCTATGATGCTGTTTTTGAGTGTAGGCGAGGTTCAGTGGGGTCCGGAGGCGATGGCCAAGAAAGAATTCTTTTTTTTTCTTTTTCTTTTTTTAAAGATTTTATTTATTTGACAGAGAGAGACACAGCGAGAGAGGGAACACAAGCAGGGGGAGTGGGGGAGGGAGAAGCAGGCTTCCCACCAAGCAGGGAGCCCGATGCAGGTCTCTCGACCCCAGGACCCTGGGATCATGACCTGAGCCGAAGGCAGACGCTTAACAACTGAGCCACCTAGGCGCCCCTTTTTTTTTTTCTCTTTAAAGATTGTATTTATTTATTTGAGAGAGAGAGGGAGAGTGAGCATGAGAGAGAACCAGTGGCAGCAGAGGGAGAGGGAGAAGCAGGCTTCCCGCGGAGCAGGGAGCCCGATGCAGGACTCGATCCCAGGACCCTGGGATCATGACCGGAGCCAAAGGCAGACGCTTAACGGACTGAGATATCCAGGCGCCCAAGAAAGAATTCTTGAGACTTCTTTGGTGCAAAATGGTTTTATTAAAGCACAGGGACAGGTTCTGTGGGCAGAAAGATCTGCTGCCCTCCACCCCCACCACCCCAGGGATTAGTGAGGAGCAAGTGATGAAATACTTTGGGGTTGGGGCAAGGAAAGACAAGGTAAATTTCAAAAGGATTTTCATATGCTAAAGAAGACTCACAGGATACCAGAGGCCTTGCTTATTATCAAACCAAGGTTGTTTTCCCATCTAGCAAGGTATTAACATTAAGACAGTAGGGAGTTTCCTGGAGGAAGGTTATAATCTGCCTCCTCAAGGATTTGTCAATGGGCTACAGATTATAAGGACATTTAATTTTATCTACATTTCCTTCTGCCTTTGTTTCCCAGATCACATAGAAGAGACAGAAAGTAAAGTGGTGGGCATCAGGGGCTGGGGGAGAGGGGGAGAGGGGGAGAGGGGGAGGAGGAGGGAAAAGTGGAAGTTTAGTGGGGACAGTTTCATTCGAGGAAAGATGAAAAAGTTCTGGGGATGGATGGATGGTGGTGAAGGTTGTAAACAATGTGAATGTGAATGCCACTGAACTGCATACTTTTTTAATGATTAAAATAGCAAATGTTGTCTTATGTGTATTTTGCTACAATATTTAAAAGTCTGAGAAGCAAACAATGACATCTGCTGAGCACACAACACACCGGACATTTCTACTGTATTTTCCCCCCAAAGCTCTCATGAGAACAGGCTCAGGGGCACCTGGGTGGCTCAGTCGGTGAAGTGTCTGCCTTGGGCTCAGGTCATGATCCCAGGGTCCTGGGATCGAGTCCCGCATCGGGCTCACTGCTCTGCGGGGAGTCTGCTTCTCCCTCTGCCTGCCGCTCCCCCTGCTTGTGCTCTCTCTCTCTCTCTGTCTGAGGCCTCTTTGGGGCTGGAAAATGAGCTGAGAAGCAGTGCAGTCCAGCTCATAGATAGCAGAGAAAGTGGGGTGAAGTGGACTTACTCCCCAGGTCGCCAAGTCCAAGATGGATTCCAAGCTCCTCGGAGAGCAGAAGGCCCCCATTCCAGCTCCTTCCGGCCTGCTCGGTGGGCTGTGGCACTCCAGAGGAGGGTGGCCAATTAACATTTGAAAAGATGCTCAACCCCATAAATAAAACCAGGAATACAAATGAAGACGACAGAGACACCATTGTGGCGCTAGGTGGGCAAACACGAAGCCCGATACAATAAAAGAGAGCGTGTGGGTGAATGCTGCTGGTGTAAACGGAGAGGCTCTTCCACATACGTGTGCCGGAAACACACAGGAATATTCATCGCCTCGCGTTTATAAGATGGTAGCAGAATCATACAGTCGTTCTGTAGCAGTGAACATTAGCCGGCCCGTACCTCACGCCACAACAAAGATCTGCCTTAGAAACATAAAGGGCAGCTCGTCCTGATGAGCGGTGGGTGATGAATGGAAATGTAGAATCACTATGATGTGGTTCTGGAATATAGGTAAGGTTTGGTGGGGTGAGGTCCAAAGCCGACGACCGAGAAGGAGTTTTTGAGACGCCTTTGGTGCAAAATGGTGTTTTTATTAAAGCACGGGGAGAAGACCCGTGGGCAGAAAGAGGGGTTGCACCGGGGTCTGGAGGAGTGGCTGACTGTATTCTCAGGAGGTGGCGGAAGTAAGGAAAAGGGAGGTTTCAGAAGGATTTTTGTATGTTAAAGAAGACTCACAGGATACGGAGGCCTGGCCATTGTCAAGTTAAGGTTGTTTTTCCCTCTAGCAAGGCATTAACATGAAGATAGTTGGGAGCTTCCCAGAGGAACAGTACACTCTGCCCACTTCAAGTATCTGTGAATGGGCTCCAGGTTATAAGGACATTTAATTCTATCTACATTTCCTCCCGGAAGCTAGGTTATTGATAGAAATGCTTTGTTTTGTAGATTGCTAAGACATTAGTAAACTGAGGGAAACTCGGGTCTTGCAGGACTGTGATCTCTATTAGTTAACTATTTGTTTTTCCTTAGCTTTAGGACAGCCAGGAGTGCAAGAGGAATGTCACAAACACCCCATGGGGGGGGTGGTTATGGGGTGTCAGCTTCTGCTTTGTTCTCTGCTTGTCTTCTGCTCCCTCATCAACTACGTTGTACATGTGAAACTCATGGAACACGGT